GTTAGTAAAGGGGATGATAGAGGAGCATCTAAAGACAGGGAGACTCTTCATGTTGCTCAAGATTATGCAGCTCTTGCTAGCATGAAGTCTAATAGTGGTAAAGGCAACAAAGGTGCCAATCAAGATATCAAGGGTACTTGTGGTAATGGTAATGGTCCTCGTACTTGCTTCCATTGTGGTGTTGAAGGTCATGTCAAAAAGAATTGTTGGAAGTTACATGGAAAGCCTCCAACTATGTCAAGCAATCAAAAATATGCTCATGTTGCCACTGAAGATGATATTTTACCTATCCTTCACAAGTTACTATATCTACAGGTGAGTATGCTTGCCCTACTCAGCTTGCTAGCCCCCAGTCATCCATTCTGTCAACTGTTACTACATTAACTCAACTAGGTAATCTGATAGCTTGTGTATCTACTTCTAGTCATAATTGTGTCATTGATTTTGGTGCTACGCACCATTTGACAAGTGATACAAGTATTCTCTCCTCATTTACACCTTTTTCTAATTTTTCTTCTGTTACTTTAGCTAATGGGTCTACTATGCCAATTATGGGTTGTGGTGCTGCTAATCCCACCAAATCTATGTCTTTCTCCTCTATTCTATGTCTTCCTCACTTTCCCTTTAATCTCTTATCTGTTAGTCAAATCACTACTGCGTTTAATTGTGGTGTTTACTTTTTCCCTACTCATTGTATCTTTCAGGATCTTGGGACAAAGCAGATTATTGGTACGGCTCGTGTCTCAGGTGGCTTGTACATGCTTGATGACATCTCTACTCTAATGTCGCCACATGTTGCATGTACCAGTGATTTGTCCTTCTCTTTTTTCCATGGTTGTTTTGGTCATCCTCCTCTTCCAATCCTGAAGAAGTTATGTCCTAGTTTACAGTCAATGTCACAGCTTAACTGTGAAGTGTGTCAATTTGGGAAACACCATCGAGTGTCTTTCAGTCCTAGAAAAAATAAACGAGCTATTGCTCCTTTTGATGTTATACATTCTGACATTTGGGGTCCTTGTCTTGTTTTATCTAAATATGGTTATAAATATTTTGTTACTTTTATGGATGATTTTTCACGTGTTACATGGCTATTTTTATGAAAAATTGTTATGAATTATTATCTATATTTTGTGTCTTTTATACTAAGATACAAAACCAATTTGCTTCATCTATCAAAATTTTGCGAAGTGATAATGCCAAAGTATAATTTTTTGCCTCTCTCTCTTCTTTTTTGTCCACCAGGGGTATTATTCATCGGTCGTCTTGTGTGTATATGCCTCAGCAAAATGGAGTCACTAAGCGAAAAAATTGTCATTTGTTAAAGGTCGCTCAGACACTTCTCTTTCATATGAAAGTCTCTAAAGAGTTTTGGGCACATGTTATTTCTACTGCTTGTTACTTAATTAATCGTATGTCTTCATCTATTCTATCTGGCCAAATACCTTACTTCATTCTTTTTCCTTCTCAACCTTTGTTCCCTCTCACTCCCAAAATCTTTGGGTGTACTTGCTTTGTTCAAGTTGTTTGCCATCATCTTTCCAAATTAGACCCTGGATCCCTCAAGTGTATATTCTTAGGTTACCCACAGTATCAAAAGGGCTATCGTTGTTTTTCTCCTACTTTGGGTAAGTATATTGTCTCGGCTGATGTTTCATTCTTCGAAACTACTCCTTATGTTGACAATTCCATTCCATCTTCTTCTCTAGTCATTGATGATTTTCTTATTTATACCATTACTCACTATAGCTCTCCACCCCTGTCTTGTCCTCCTATCACTCAGATATACTCTCGCCGCCCTCCACCGCAGCAAGTGGCACTAGCGCTAACATCAATGTCGGCATCTGATACACTTGAGACTTTGCCCCTACTACCTACCTGGCCCCCGGGTCTGGATCCTCCTCCTTCTAACCTAGATCTTCTCATTGCTTTACGTAAAGGTAAGCGCCTTTGTACTTATCCTATTTCCTCTTTTGTTTCTTATAACTCATTGTCTCTATCTTCCAAGTTGGTTGTTGCCTCTTTAGATTCCGTGTCTATTCCCCGTTCAGTGTTTGAAGTAGTTGCTCGTGATGGATGGCGAAGGGCTATGCAAGAAGAGATGTTGGCTCTTGAGCATAACAATACATAAAATCTCGGTGATTTACCTGGTGACAAAAATACCATTGGGTGTAAGTGGGTTTTCATGGTGAATGTTAATCTTGATAGGTCTGCGGCCTGGTTGAATGCTCAGTTGATTGCTAAGGGTTATGCTCAAACATATGGTATTGATTATTCGTAGACATTTTCTCATATTACTAAGATGACCTATGTTCGGTTGTTTATTTCTCTTATAGCTTCTTATGGTTGGCCCCTTCACCAATTTGATGTCAAGAATGTCTTTCTTCATGGTGATCTTCTTAAGGAGGTTTACATGGAGCAACCACCAGAGTTTGTTGCTCAGGGGGAGTCTGGAAAGGTATGCAAACTTAGAAAATCTTTATATGGTTTGAAACAATTTCCACGTGCTTAGTTTGGGAGATTTAGTGATGTAGTGATTGAATTTGGTTTGCATAGAACTGCTTATGATCATTCTGTCTTCTATAGGCAATCTAGTTTTGGTATTGTCCTCCTTGTTGTTTATGTTGATGATATTGTAATAACTGGTAGTGATAGTGTTGGTATTCATAGTTTGAGAATCTTTTTGGCTTTCAAATTTCACACGAAAGACTTAAGCTCTTTAAAGTATTTTCTGGGATTTGAGGTTTCTCGAAGTAGGAGAAGGATTGTCTTGTCTCAACGCAAGTATGTGTTAGATTTGTTGACTGAAACAAGTCTAAATAGAGCCAAGCCTTGTGATACTCCTATGGTTCCTAACGTAAAATTGAATGTTGAAGATGGAGAGGTGTTTGTTGATCCAGAGCGATGTAGATGAAAAGTTGGAAAGTTGAATTATCTTACAGTAACTTGTCCAAATATTACTTTCTCAATGAGTGTGGTAAGTCAATTTATGTCATCTCTTAGGACACCTCATTGGGATACAGTTCTTCATATTTTGAAATATCTCAAGAGGGCTCTTGGACGTGAGATCCTTTATATTAATCATGGCCACAGTAAAGTAGAAGGATTTTCATATGCAAATGGTGCAGGATCATTTGTAGACAGGTGTTCTATGACTGGATTTTGTGTTTTTGTTGGAGGGAATCTTATTTCTTGGAAAAGTAAGAAACAACTTGTTGTAGCTAGATCAAGTGCAGAATTTGAGTACCGAGCTATGGCACAAGTAACTTGTGAGCTTATATGGACAAAATATCTCCTTAGAGAAGTTGGAATTGGTGATCCAATGATTATGGACTTGTGGTATGATAACCAAGCAGCCATACATATAGCCAACAATCCAGTTTTTATGAGCGAACAAAGCATATAGAAGTTAATTGTCATTTTGTCTGAGAGAAACTTGAACAAAAATTAATTTCCACTAAGCATAGCCAAACTTGCAGCTTCAACTAATGACCATCTTCATTAGTTTCCAGCAAAATATCATCACATTCAACAGTTTATAGCTTCTTAACTTGAAATACCAGCAACTTCCTTTTTTAATCTACTGACAAACTTTAAAAGACTGAATCAACTCTAATGATCGTAGCCCTTTCCTAAACCTGGGTCACCAATTATTCTTCCTGAGTGACATTGAAGAGGACAGAAATCTCCAAGCGAGTTCAATCTTATCTAACAATCGTGCTGAAAAAGGTTGGAGTTTCAAAGCAATAGAATAGATACTTGCTAGATTTTCAGAAGGTTTGAATCACCAATAATCACTACAAGAACAATTCCCATCCTCAAAACTATGGAACCCATTTGAATCCCTCGCAATTATTTTTCTCATCCTCAAAGCCATTGAGTGACGAAGCTACTGAAACACTTTTTTAACAGTGGTGGCTGACGGTCAGCAATCATATTGGGTGGTTGAGTTGTTTTGGCTAATTTTTAAACTTTTATCTAAGTAAAAAGCTTCTCTCAAAATTCTTTTATTCTTCACAATTAAATATATTAATATAATATATTTACCAATTTATTTCAATCTAATTAAACATATTTAACATAATATTTCTAATAATTTTCAAAGTAATTTATCTTCTCATTAATATAATATTTTCAATAATATAATAATTTTTGAACTAAACCCCCTTAAAGATAAGTTTTCAGAATTTTCATACACATAACGAAACGAAGATGTTAATATAAAAATTTCATATATAAAGATGTGACCACTGACAATTGAATTTTCGGAGAAATAATGTAAAAGGCAGGGGATTCTCATAAACATAATTAATGAAAGCTTTTTAACTTTTGGAAAATCAATTTCTTTGGATTGGGGACGAAGCAAACTTGTGCAACATTTTTACGAGTCAGCAAAAGTGAGAGCTGAGAGGGAGGGAGTGCTTTGCCATAAATTCCACATAAAAGAATGATTGCAAGAAAAATATTAAAATATTAGCGAAGCACTAGCAGACTGACTCAAAGACTTCAATTTTGTAGAGAATATGTGATAAGTCAATGAAAGTAATTCACGTTCCGCTGCATGTATTGTTAATCCACAATAATATTTTTATTTTTCAATTATTATAAAGATTAATTTTTAAATCGATTTATATATTATCACAAATTTAAAGAAGCAATAATTCTTAACTAATTTAAATACACGCTAAAACAAAACAAATATATACAGTCTGGAATGAGAATTAAATTAATATTGTTGTGACAATTTAGAGTTATTTCGATATAAATAAAAACTAAATGAGATGAAATTAAATTGTTAATAAAATATTATAATTTTCTTAAAAAAGGAATAAAAAATAACTTAAAATTTTATAGAAGTTATTTTAATATTTTTACTTCAACATTTTTTTCCCCTTTTATTCGATTAAAAACAAAAAAAGCAGTGGCTTTTTTTTTTTTTTTTTGGGTAAACCCGGTAAATGTATAGAAAAGAGAAAAAAGAAACAACGTAGGGGAGGAAACTCCCGGGCGAACTACTCGAGTACTTTCTTCTATTTTAAAGAGGAGAGAACAAGAAAACCTTGATTTAAGGGAGACAATTATTAATTCTCCCTTCTTACTTTATTACAAAACTCATTTTGGAATTGAGATTAGTTCATTTCTTGAATTGGGTATCTGAGTTTTGAAGAGAAGTGGTGGAATGGCAACTGACTTACTTGTAGGACCAGCGGTTGAAGCAGTGTTTGGGGAGCTACTAAGAGCTGTTTTAAAGGAAGCAGGGAAAGCAAAATACTTTAAGCCCCAGTTGGAGCAATTACAATCCACTTTGGAGAATAATGTTTCGGTTATCCAACAAATTGAGAAGTACAATGAAAAATTGGATTATCCGAAGTGTGAAACTCAATTGATGATTGAGAAAATAAAGGAAGGCGAGCAGATTGTTCGCAGATGCTCAACAGTGAAGTGGAATATCATTAAAAAGACTCATTATGCTCGTAAACTAATCAAAATGAATAGCTTAATTGACAGGTTCTTTCAGGTTGATATGCAAGCACAACAGACCAGAGACAACAAAGAAATTCTGCTGGGTATGAGAGATCTGCAAAGGTCGTTCACCGCATGTAATAGTAATGGAAGCATTGGTGTCAAGTTTAGTCGAGATGGAATTATTAGACCTTGTTCGGTGCCTAATCCTCCGGAGATGACCCCTGGATTAGATGTACCATTGGAGGAGTTGAAGAGGGAATTGTTAAGGGATGGCAAGCAAGTGATTGTTGTGTCAGCCCCTGGAGGATCTGGGAAGACTACATTGATTAAGAAACTTTGCAAAGATGCAAAAGTCGAAGGTATCAATTTATATTACTCGTTCTCTTTTTGTTTGCTAAGCCCCTTATGGTTAAGTTAATTTGCACATTTTGTTGGAATTCTTCTTTCGGAGTGGATTTTTATTTATAATGATCGTCTCCGATAACTTTTCAATGTATATACTGATTGTGTTTGAATTGAACTCGGTGGCCTTTATGTAAAATCTTGACACTTTTGCCATATTGCCAGATAATATGTAAACATGGATTTTCCATTATGCCAAATTTCTTTATGTAGAATTGGCACTTAATTTCATTAGAATTTTTATCAAAAGCATTCTAACACAGTATTTCAACAGCAAAATTCAAGGACAACATTTTCTTTGTCACTGTTTCTAAACCACACAATGTGAAGGTTATTGTACGGAAAATGATCCAGCATATGGGTAAAGATGTGTGTGAGTTTCAAACAGATGAGCATGCAATCAATGACTTGGAACGTTTGTTGAAGGAAATGGGTTCACCACCCATATTGTTGGTCCTTGATGATGTCTGGTCTGGATCAGAATCCATGCTGCACAAGTTCAAGTCCCAATTGCCCAATTACAAGATTTTGGTGACTTCAAGATCTGTATTCCCAAAACTTGGTTTTGAATATAATTTAAAACCATTGAGTGACGAAGCTGCTGAAACACTTTTCCGTTATACAGTGGGTGGAGACTCATACGTTGGAGATAAAAAGCTTGTCAATAAGGTGCTCTGTCAATCTGCAGTACAAACATACATGCACATATGTGTCTGTTTCCTTTTCCTATTTATCCTCATTATTCATGTATCGAATACCAAATCATTTTTAGTATAAGTTAGGAAGTTTTTGGCATGTTTAATCACTCTTTCTACCATTGGCCAACGTACAGTGACAAATGTGACTGTTGCACTATAAATTGAGCCTTTTAAACAACCAAAGCAAACTTTGATCTGATGTGAATTCATTGCAGATATTGGGAGTCTGTAAGGGATCTCCACTAGCCCTTACTGTAGTTGGTAGATCACTCTGTGGGCGGTCTGCAGCAGTCTGGAAAAGTAGAGTGAAGGAATGGCAGGATGCAACTATTTTCCATTCTAACACTGATTTGCTTGTTTGTCTCCAAAGCAGCTTGGATGCCTTAGATGATAAGCTCAAGGAGTGTTACATGGACCTTGGTTCTTTTGCTGAGGACCATAGAATTCCTGTCACTGCCCTCATCGACATGTGGGTGGAATTGTATAAAAGGGATGAAGATAATCTTTATCTCATCCTTAGTGATCTCTCTGACGTAAATCTGTTTGATCTAGTGGTGACCAGGTATGCTGGCTATATAGTTCTCTATGATGTAACTAAATGCTTTCCCTAATGATTTTTTTTTTTTTTTTTATGTAAAAAAAGCAAAAAGTTTCAGGGAGCCACAAGTTTAGCATTTTGTCATTTGTTTTATGGATGATTGTCATCAATTGTTGCAAATGATAATTGATTGTGATGAATTTTCTATTTGAGCTACTGACTATTTATTCTATTAACTTAGCAAGTCTCTTGCTCTATATCTACAGAATTTGAATCTGATCCTGACTAATCAATTTATGTCTATTCAACCGGAAAAATGGCAGTGATGATGGCTCCTACAATGATCACTTTGTTTTACACCATGATCTTCTCAGAGAGCTAATTATCCATCAAAGCTTATTAGAACCAGTAGAAAAGATGAAAAGACTATTCATAGAGATAAGTGGAAACAATTTTCCTCCGTGGTGGTTGGAACAGAATCTGCACCCAGTTAATGCCCGTCTCTTGTCAATCTCCACAGGTTTTTCATTTCTAACACACCTTCTGAAATGTTTTTATTTTATTTGTTCTGCTCATTACTAAGTTCGACATAATTCGCAGATGAAACATTCTCATCCAGTTGGTATGACATCAAAGCACCTGCAGTTGAAGTTGTAGTTCTAAATGTTCGAACAAAGGAGTACACCATGCCAAATTTTATGGAGAAGATGGAAAAATTGAAGGTCTTGATAGTCACAAGTTGTGGATTCCTTCCTGTTGAATTAAGTAACTTTCAACTTCTTGGTTCTTTGTCAAATCTAAAGAGAATTAGATTGGAGCGAGTTTCAATTTCCTTTGACATGACAACGATACAAATGAAGAATCTGCAGAAGTTATCCTTGGTTTTATGCAATGTGGGTCAGGTTTTTAGTAATTCTACCTTCCAAATTTCAGATGCATTTCCAAATTTGAAGGAGATGGACATTGACTATTGCAATGATCTAGAGGCACTGCCTGATGGGGTATGTGATATTGTCTCCCTAGAAAATCTCAGCATCACCAATTGTCATAAGCTGTCCCAACTGCCCGAAGGGATTGGCAAGCTGGTAAACTTAGAGGTGCTAAGGCTTGCTTCTTGTACTGATCTGGAAGCATTGCCAGACACAATTGGGGACCTAACCAATTTAAGACTTCTTGATATATCTGAATGTCTAAGCATCACAGAATTGCCAGTACAGATTGGTGAGTTATACAGATTAGAAAAACTTTTCATGAGAGGCTGCTGTAGTTGTGATCTACCCACATCAATTACGAAGCTTAAGAATTTGGAGGTTGTGCGATGCGATGAAGAGACAGCTTATAAATGGGAAGAAGTAGAGGCCTGTTTCACATATCTGACAATAGAAGTGCCTAAAGAAGAGATAAACTTAAATTGGCTTTACAAATAATATTTGTCAGAAATTTCAAGCAATCCTCACGCTCTGTTGAGAATATGGCTCAGCTGCTGATTTGGTCAAGGATTGCTGCTAATGTGTTGTTGCTGATTTGGTGTTGAAAGTTGTTAAAGGTGTGTGTTTCCAGATTCAAGTCTTTGAAATAGTGCTGGTCATGTGCTTGTTTTTAGGAGTATGTTATTTCAATAGTGGATAAGCTGTTAGTGGAGTCGTGTTCAGTTTTTTTAGCAAGTTTGTTAAAGTATTTCTATTACAAAATCTTGTATATATTTGCTGCTGATTCAATAAAGATTTGTGTGAGTTTGCAGTCTCTCTTAAGTCATTTTTGCATTCTCTCTCTTCAGATTTTGTTCTTGTACGAATAAAACTATACGCTCTATTGACTTGTAATTATGTTAGAATGGAAGTGAGAGAAAAAATTTCATGGGGAAGTAGTGTATGTCTCTTCTGTACTTGATGTTGCTGTTCAAGTGATAATCTAAACCAGAAGTTCTGGCTCGACTAGGGTATTGTCCACTTAATTTTTAAAAGAGAAATTAAACGAAGCTGGTTTCATGGTTTACAAAGAGCAATGAGGTGGATACCTCAATAGCCAGGTTGATATGGTCGCACAACAGGCAAGAGACACTTGTGAAAGTCAATGAAATGCATAGCATCGTCAAGAGACTCGACGGTAAAGAAAACGCAAGTGGGTTTAAACCGTTTAAAATTATTGGAGCTTGCTCAGTGCCTGGTCCTCCGGAGACCCCTGGCCTGGATTTTCCATTGGTGGAGTTATACACTTTTGCAACTAATAAAATTGTGAAAACAAACAAAAAGTATGAATTGAAGATAATTGTGTCACTAAATTAAATTAAAGTAATATGGTAAACTTTATTACAATAAAGTTATAATAAAGTGAAAGAAAAGTTTAAGGAATCTACATTTTCTCACCGGCAATCTTTGAAAAGAACATTTACTTACCCATCGTTAAAATTCCAATGTTAGTATTAATGGTGAAACCGTTCACACAATATATAGTATAGGATTAATGTCGATTATACCCCTAAAATACAGGCAAATGACAATTGTCTTCACCAATTTAGGAATTAACCACTTAAACCCCTATCTTCAATTTCTATAGAATGGAGGTTTCACTTAAAGTATATGTGTTTCCATAAAAAAAAATAAAAATAAAAAATGCAAAAACCTTTTCATTTATAATAATATCTAAAAATTATAAAAATACAAAACAATATTTCATATTTCATATATTATATATTATATATTTTATGAAATTATATAAAGATATAATTTCTGAAAGAGGAAAAAAAAAACTGAAAAATTGTAAATAAGAAAACAAAAAATTCCAAAAAAAAAAAAAATATATATATATATAGGACCCAATTAATAAAGGATTTAAATAAATTTTTTTCTTAACAAGAGATATAATAAATCTTATGAAAATGCGTTTGGTAAAAATGATTAGAATTGTTTTTCAAAAATAGTTTTTAAATACAATCCTAAAAACTAATGTAAAATTAAAAACATTAAAAGTCATTTTTATAGTTTTCTACTGCTTTTAATCTGAAAACAATTTTTAAATTTTATATTAGACACATTTTCAAATATTAAAATACAACTAAAATTTGAATCATACTTTAGTTTTTGAAAATTATTTTTGAATCACAAATGAAAAAGGCCCATAAAAATTTGAAAAAAAATAATCAAAAACTGAAAAAAAAAAAAAAACGGTTGGCTAAAATCGCACTCGGCTACGTGCGATTCGGCTAAATCATACATGGCCGTGCGCAATTCCGACTTAATTAATTAAAAACATCCAGCTGAGTAGAGCAAATGAGATTGATATCCTCCATCATCTTTTCTTGGTTTATCTTCATTCTTAAAAAATTAGGGCCCATTTGGTAAGTTATTGGAAAAAATGTTATTTTGAAAAATTATCTGAATAAATAGGATATGATTAAATCAAATAGGATAAGATTATAAGATTGTATTTGGTATAATAACTAAAAATTATATTTAAGTTGGATAAAAATTAGAATAGTTGTTTGATACATTTTTAAAAACATTTTCTGAAAATATTTACATGATTTTTTAACTCCCTACATTGTTAATTTAGCTAAACATCATCAACAATAAAAGTTTATAAATTAACAAAAATACTCATCCACCCAAACCAAATGGCACACGATTTGTTGGACATGACCAATTGTGTGCCGATCATGCGAAAAACGGCTAGATCTACAACTAGAATTTGGTCGTTGTTAACGGCCAAAATATGGTCGCCAACGGCTAGATCTTTAGTCGTAAATCTGGCCAAAAAAAGCTAGATCGACGCACGATGGGTCAAGTTCGATCGATTGTACATCGTTTCAATACCGACGATCATCGATGGCAACGGCAGCAGCTGGCGGTGGTTGCTAAGGGCCAGCAGTAGCTTGTGTGGATAAGAGTATTTTTATTAATTTATAAACTTTTATTGTGAAATATAATTGTTTTTAGTTGAATAAAGTTGAAAAAAAATATTAAAATAAGATAATAGGAAACAAGTCCCAATCATAGAAAAAATCTTATTTGACTCGGATTGATTTTTAAAATAATGATTTCAAGTAAATTTTTTAATCCAAGTAGGATAATTAAAAAGAGTGAAACAAGCACGGTAAGAGATTTGATATTACAATATAATCAACTAATGACCACCAATCAGTTTATCATACCGCAATGGCCAGAGGAACCATGGCAAGTTACTAAAAGCTAACAGTAACCCCTCATCTTAATGAACTTCTGTTCAATTGTCTCGTCTTTTTTTCCCAAAAGATATTATAGCCTTAAATCCATAGCAGCTAAGGGTTCCAACCTCCAACATCCCATTGTTTATAGCTTCTTAACTTGAAATACCAGCAACTTCCTCTTTTAATCTACTGACAAACTTAAAAAGACTGAATTAATCTGATGATCATAGCCCTGTCCCCACACCTGGGTCACCAATTAATCATCCTGAGTGACATTGAAGAGGACAGAAATCTCCAAGTGAGTTCAATCTTTTCTGACAATCGTGCTGCAAATGGTTGGAGTGTCAAAGCAATAGAAAGATACTTGCTGGATTTTCAGAAGGTTTGAATCACCAATAATCACTACAAGAACAATTCCCATCCTCAAAACTATGGAACCGATTTGAATCCCTCACAATTATTTTTCTCTTAACAATCTTTGAGATAAACTTGATGGCATTGTGGCAATCTACACAAGTTCTTAAATTCTTAAATACTTTGATTGTTGTTCCCGGGGGAGTAGCAATAATCCCAAAAGCAACTGCAAGCTTCTCACTGTGGTACGAGAGATTTTGCTCCTTCTGCTCCTCCTCCACATCATGCAACACAAAATTGGTATCAGGAATATACCCTTCTTCCCTCATCCTTCTTGAAAGCTTGCCCAAAAACTCATGAATTTCCTTGGACTTCGGATGAGATGTATCTCCCACTAAGAACACATGCACCTCTCTCTTGACCTCTATCCAACTCAAACCTGGTTTCTTTACAACTCCTTTGTCATCCATTTTCTTTCTGATTTTTGAAACTTCTGCCCACATGCCAGCAGCGGCATATATGTTGGCCATAGTAATGTAAGTGGCTGGATTCTCAGGCTCAATCTCAAATAATGCTTCTGCTGCTTGTTTAGCCAGTTCAAGGTTTCCATGAATTCTACAACCAGCAAGCAAGGAAGCCCACAAAAATTTATCTGGTTTCATTGGCATTTTAGAAATGATGCCCTCAGCTTCCTTAAACCGACCAGACCTTGCCAATAGATCAATAATACAAGCATAATGATCAGCAGTATGTGTTAGCCCATGTTTCTCCTTTATTGAGTGGAAATACTCAAGCCCTTTATCAACCAAACCAGCGTGAGTACAGGCTGTAAGAACCCCAACAAAGACAATATGATCAGGCTGAGTACCTGATTTAAGTAACAACTCAAAGTACTCCAAAGCCTTATCAGGTAGACCATTTTGAGCATATCCAGCAATCAATGAAGTCCAAGAAACTAAATCTGGTCTAGGGATCTCATTAAATACTCTTTTCGCATTTTCAACATTTCCACACTTAGAGTACATATGAACAAGTGCACTAGCTGCAAAACTGTAAGGATCAAATCCTATTCTCGTCATATACCCATGAACTTGTTTTCCAAGTTCCTCTGCTGCATGATCAGCACACGCATTCAAAACCCCGGCAAAAGTAAACTCATTAGGCCTACTCCTTGATTTCATCAACTCACAAAACAAAGCAAACCCTTCTTCTCTCCTCCCTTCTTCAAAATATCTCCCAATCATAGCTGTCCATGAAACTACGTCTCTATCCAACATTCCATCAAAAATGTGCCTCGCTTCATTTATACTCCCGCATTTTCCATACATATCAGACAAAGCACTCCAAACTATCTCATCTGAATCCAACCCAGTTCGCATTATATAACCATGAATCTCTTTACCTAAACGTAAACAGTGAATAGCTGACACTGCTGCCAATGCACTAGACACGGTAAACTTATTCGACACCGAACTTTCACTTCTTTGCATGCTTCTATACAACTCTAAAGCCTCTATTGTCTGATTATAACGTACATACCCCGAAATCATTGCAGTCCAAGAAAAATTGTCTCTTTGAGGCATTTCATCGAAAAAATTTCTTGCTTGTTCAAGAAACCCCACTTTCGCATAACCGGATATCATAGTGTTATACGAGCAAAGATCTCTTTCATTCATTTCATCAAAAACTTTCTGGGCATCAATTAAACTCTCACATTTCGCGTACATATCTAGCAAACGGTTAGATATGAAGACACCGGGCTTAAACCCGGAAGCTTTTAAGTGTGCATGGACTCTTTTGCCCTCTTCGAGAGCGTAATTTTGGCGGCAAAATTGGATGAGAGTGGAATAGATTGAAGCAGAGGGCTGATTGATTTGATGGAGGACATGAATTGCTTCTTTCAAGCGTTTTTGGTTGCATAAAATGTCTAACGCTTCTTTAAATTTGTTGTCTTTGCATAAGCTGGTTATGAGTCTGTCATTGGAGTTTATTTTGAAAAAGGACTTTTGATTAACAGGTTTATGACGGTTAGATTGAGAAGAATAAGAGCAGAAAGTGGTTTTGTTAAGTTGAAACAGATTACAAGTGTTTGAGGTTCTGAACTTCCCTGGTTTCATGGTTTCATGGTTTCAAGTGGCCGTAAACAAAAAATTTCACCTGGTTGTGATGTTTAGGAGGAGGTATATGGGCTTTGGTTGAGCCCGGGATAGAAAGCTCATTATGATTTGAAGGAATATATTTATTAAGTGGTGAATTGTAGTGGTTAGTGATACTTTCCCATCTATAAACTTTTAAAATACCTTTTTATTATGTAAATATTATGTTTTCCTTCGGTTTTGGTGGGAAATACGGTGATTTACGAAAAAAAAAAAAACCCCTCTTTTTTCATCTCTTCTTAGCCTGTTCCATTGCCAGCATTAAGGAGTGTCGGTGACTAAAAAATCAACAAACAAATCGTAAACACTGCAAATAAACATCCATCAATCGTCTTTCAACCCAACAAGCACAAAAATCGAATGAATCAAACCTAATTAATCGATCAAAACTCGAAAAACCCTAGGGTGGGGAAGCTTCAATCACTGACGATTGGTGAGCAAACAGGATCAGGAATGTTGAGGCTTTTGGAGATGAAGATCCAGGGAGTCGATTGGTGGTGGCAAGGACAATTTTGACACCAAAACGACTGAAAATTTGACTTGGAAGTTGAAACGTCTCGCGGTGCACAATCGACGATTGGCAAGCAAGAGACGGTGATGGAAGTAAGGGTTTTGTAGAGTGGCTTGTGGTGAGCGTGATGGCGGTGTTTGGGAGAATTTCTAACAAAGAAATCAACTGAAAATCCGGTTTGAAGAGTCGGCCGTGCGAACAGAGGTGGTGGTTAGAAATGGTCAGTGATGACGCAAATGGTGAGTGATTATCCCAAACTGTTTTTTTGGGTAATCAAATATCAACTTAAATTGGCTTTACAAATAGCATTTGTGAGAAATTTCAAACAATCTTGCGCTCCATTGACTTGTAATTGTGTTAGAATGGAAGTAAGAGAAAAAATTTCATGGGGAAGTAGTGTGTATCTTTTCTGCACTTGATGTAACTATTCACGTGATAATCTAAACCAGAAGTTCTGGATGAATTAGGGTATAATCCACTTAATTTCTAAAAGAGAAATTAAACGAAGTTAGTTTATTGTATATACTCTGAGATAGAAAAGAAAAAGTTCCTTGTTACAAGAGCAATGAGGTGGGTGATTTCAGACTTTCCCGAGATACTTGGAAAATATTAGGCTTACAAAGCCAAAACTTTTAAGGATGCAGAAGCTTATAACAGTATCTTCAAAAGACTATTTATATGACCTCAACTCTTTATTATAAAAAGTTTATCCATAAAAATAAGAATCTAACAAACTTGTTATTTTTTAAATATAAATTAAAGAGTAAGTTTAACTCTCCACATCAAAGAGAATCAAATTTCACTCTCTATCTTAATTTTAATTAATAAATTACAAGTTTTTATGCATTTTATTTATTAATTTCATTTTTTATGTAAGTCTTTTTTCTTTAAATATAAAAAGTCTATTGGATTTGAATAAAAATTTTCTTCTTTATATTAAAAATTAATAAAAATATTCTTTATTTATTTAAAGATGCTTCTTAAAATAAAAAATACTGTTACAATGCTTTTTAAAATAAAATTAAAAAACACTATTATAGATTTATAGATGCTCTAATGATAACAAGGATATTAATGTAAAAACCTTCATATTAAAGATGTGACAACTAACAATTGTAATTTAGAAGAAATAATGTAAAAAACAAGAGATTCTTATAAGAGTAATGTTACATTTATACCACTCTTTATATCAGTTTTATTATATCATAACTTGATATATACTATATTCAAATAAATTTTTTTATAATTTTTAATATTATAATAAAATTATTATTAATAAAATGATTATAAAATAAGAAAATTACGTAAAAAACTGATGTAAAGGTTTTATTACTCTTCTCATCAACTTTTGGAAATCAATTTCTTTGGATTGGGGATGAAGCAAACACATTTATCAATGAGAGTCGGCCAAAGTGGGAGTGCTTTGGGGCTTTGCCATAGATTCCACATTAAAGAATGATTGAATAAAGTAAAGTTAATCAAACAAGTTTTTATGCATAAATTATTCTTTTTTTTTTTTTTTATGGGTAATCAAATATATTTATCATATTTTGTTTGGCAGCAATAAGTTGTTATTATAATTTTGGTGATTGCTTTGTTTTATTTGGCAAAGGAAAGTGGGTTGTTGTTGGTTATTAAGAGGGAATAACTAAAACATTAAAATACATTTGATTAGCGAATCTCTACGAGACTGACACAATGACTTGGATTTTGTGAAGAATACGTGACAAGGTCAATGAAAGGGATTCACGTTCAGCTGCATCTATTGTTAATCCACAATAATATTTTTATTTTTCAATTATTATAAAGATTAATTTTTAAATCAATTTATATATTATCGCATTTAGTCTTGTTTTATGGATTTACTGGAATTTTTTTATAGCTAAAAAAAAAGGAAGAATTATTAATAATAAAATAGAGTTGAACAGTTGCTTTTGAATGATATAGTCGACATTATTTTATAAAATATATTTAATAAAAAATCAATCAAACCAATTATATATAATTAACGAAGCAAATGTAAAGAAACAATATTTCTAAATTAATTTGAATACACGTAAAAACTAAAAACAAAACATATATAAAAAGTTTGAAATCAGTATTAAATTAATATTGTAATGATAATTGAAAGTTACTTCAATATAAATAAAAACTAGATGAGATGAAATTAAATTGTTAATAAAATATTATACTTTTCTAAAAATTAATTATTTAATGTTTAATAATATACATTTTCTTAAAAAGATCTAAACCTAAAATTTGCTTTACCCTCCATCCATATCCAAATTAGTTATTTGATTATTAAGATATAAGAAGTCTCTAGTAGTTTTTAAATTTTAATTAAAAAAAAAAAGTTAAAAACATTCTGAAAATTGTAAATTGAGGCAAAACTGAAACCTCGTCAACTTCAAGTCAAGTTCCAAATGTACGTATAAAGGATGATCAGTGAGCTACTGCGTACACGCTAAAGTAAAAATACGATTCTCTCATGTTCATATGAAGAGTCGTATTCCTTAAATTCTTCTATTTGTGTCTCATTCTTAATTTCTTCCAAAATTTAGACTGAAATTTGTTCATTTCCTGGAATTTAGATTTGTTTTTTCGTTGAAGAGAAAGTGATGATGGACTATGGAGGAGCCGCCCTTGGAGCAGCGTTCGGAGCGCTAGTACAAGCAGTTGTTGAGGCGAGTTTTAAAGCATGGATGTTCAAGTCCCTCTTGAAGCAACTGAAATCCACTTTAGAGTCTGTAACTCCTATCATCAAAGAAATTGAGAAGTTGAACAGAGATTTGGATCGGCCAAGGCATGAAACTGGTAAGTTCATTAGGAAATTGGAACAAGGCGAGCAACTTGTGCCGCAAATGCTCAACAGTAAGGTTGAATTGCTTTAAAAGAATCGTTTACGCTCACAAACTCCAGAAACTGGATACCTCAATAGCCAGTTTCTTTCAGGTTGATATGGTAGCACAACATTTAAGGGACACCAAAGAAACACTTGTGAAAGTCAATGAAATGCATAGCATCTTCAAGAGACCCGACGGTAAAGAAAACGCAAGTGGGTTTAAACCGTTTAAAATTATTGGAGCTTGCTCAGTGCCTGATCCTCCGCAGATTGCCCCTGGCCTGGATGTTCAATTGGAGGAGTTAAAGATGGATTTGCTTAAGAAGGGCATGCAAGTGATTGTGTTGTCAGCTCCTGGAGGATCTGGGAAGACTACATTGGTTAAAAAACTTTGCAAAGATGATAAAGTCAAAGGTATCAATTGCAATTACTTGCTTTCTTTTTATGTTATTTAGTAAATTAATTAAGTTACCAATTTTACTAGTGGACTGAGACATGGTTGGCAGATGGGATTGTGCTTGATAATTGTTCGAATCATTAGTGATTGTGTTTAGGAAAGTAATGAAGCAATTTCATTTCTTTGTTGCTTTATGTATGTGCAGATTAGGTAGAATATGCTATTTTGTACAGTTTTCCTTATGTAGAACAGTACAAGTGACAGTTAATAATCTTAAAGCTTTTATCACATGTTACTTGAACAGGAAAATTCCAGAACAACATATTCTTTGTCACTGTGTCTAAAACGCCCAATGTGAAGGTGATTGTACAGAAAATATTTAAACATAAGGATTGCGAGGTGCCTGAGCTTCTGACTGATGAAGACGCATTTAATGAATTGGGACGATTGCTGAACCAAATACAGTCAGAGCCTATATTGTTGGTCCTTGATGATGTCTGGTCTGGATCAGAATCCATGGTGCAAAACTTGAAGTTCCAATTGCCTGATTACAAGATTTTGGTGACATCAAGATTTGTATTCCCGCAATTTGGTCCTGGACATAATTTGAAACCACTGAATGAAGAAGATTCAATGACTCTTTTTAACCATTCAGCAGTGCTGCCAGATGGGACCTTGTACATTCCAGATCAAAATCTTGCCTATCAGGTGCTCTGTGAAGTTTGTAGTTATAAACATGCACATATGTATTTGTCTTCAGTTTATTTCCTGTTTTCTTGTGTAGCATGCATATAGTGCATATGAATACATTTCTTATCCTACCAAATCATGTTTAGTAAATGATTGTATGCCTTTATGCCTGTTTCACTCTTTTTCATCATTTGCCAACATATAGTGACAAATGAGACCATTGCTCTCTAGTTCGATTATTTTTACCTGTTTTGAATCAATTTCAGATAGTGAGAGCCTGTAAGGGATCTCCACTGGCCCTTACTGTAGTTGGCAGATCACTCTGTGGGCAGCCTGAGGAAGTCTGGCAAATAAGAGTGAAGGAATGGACTCAAGATGCAACTATTTTCTATTCTAACACTGATCTACTTGTTCCTCTCCAAAGCAGCTTGGATGCCCTAGATAATAAAATCAAGGAGTGTTACATGGACCTTGGTTCATTTCCTGAGGACCAAAGAATTCCTGTCACTGCCCTAATTGACATGTGGATGGAATTGTATAAACTGGTCGAAGGTCGTTATGCCATTGCAAACCTCAATGATCTCTCCAATCGAAATTTGGTTAATCTGGTGGTCACAAGGTATGCTGGCTATATAGAGCTCTGTGATATAATTAAATGCCCTTCTCTATTCATTTTTACAGGACAGAAAAGAAGAAAAGTAAACAAGAAGTTGTGAGAACAACTAGTAAATTTTAGCGTTTTGTGAATTGTTTTATGGATGTCTGATCTCAATTGATGCAAATGAAAATAAAGGGTGATGAATTCTCTATTGTGCTACCAATTATTTGTTCTATCATACAGGCATCTACCTCTATGTGTGTAGAGTTTGTATATTTCCTCTGAGCACTCCATTTTTGTTTATTCACAGGAATACTGCTAGTCATAATGGCTGCTACAATGATCATTTTGTCATGCAACATGACCTTCTCAGAGATTTGATTATCCATCAAAGCATGTTGGAGCCAATAGAGAAGAGAAAAAGACTATTCATAGAGATAAGTGGAAACAATTTTCCTGAGTGGTGGTTGGAACAAACTCTGCACCCAGTTAACGCCCGTCTCTTGTCAATCTCCACAGGTTGTTTATCTCTATTTCTAATACATGTTCTAAAATATACTTGGTATTTTTTTTTTTTCTGTCCTTATCATCTCACTAAAAATGGGACATAATTTGTAGATGAAACATTCTCGTCCAGTTGGTACGACATCAAAGCACCTTTAGTTGAGGTTGTAGTTCTAACTATTCAAACAAAGAAGTACACCTTGCCAAATTTCATGGAGATGATGGACAAAATGAAGGTCTTGATAGTCACAAATAATGGTTTCTTCCTTGCTGAATTAAGTAACTTTAAAATTCTTGGTTCTTTATCCAATCTAAAGACAATTAGATTGGAGCGAGTTTCAATTCCTTCCTTTGACATGACAGCGATACAAATGAAGAATCTGCTGAAAATATCCTTGGTTTTGTGCAATGTTGGTGAGGTTTTTAGGAATTCCACCTTCCACGTTTCAGACGCATTTCCAAATCTAAAGGAGATGGACGTTGACTATTGCAATGATCTTGATGAATTGCCTGATGGGGTATGTGATATTGTCTCCCTAAACAAGCTCAGCATCACCAACTGTCATAAGCTGACTCAACTGCCTGAAGGAATTGGGAAGCTTGTAAACTTAGAATTGCTAAGGCTTGCTTCCTGCGCTGAGTTGGAAGCTTTGCCAGACACAATTGGGAACCTATCTAATTTAAACTTTCTTGATATATCTGAATGTCTAAGCTTCAACGAATTGCCAATACAGATTGGTGAATTATGCAGTTTAAAAACGCTTAGCATGAGAGGGTGCTCTGCTTGTGAGCTACCCGCGTCCATTATGAATCTTAAGAAATTAGAAGTTGTGAGATGCGACGAAGAGACAGCCTATAACTGGGAACAATTCGAGGCCCTTCTGACAAATCTAAAGGTAGAAGAGGTGAAAGAGGATTCCGACTTGAATTGGCTCCGCAATTAACATTTCTGAGAATTTTTTTTTGGTTTTTCTTTGTACACCATGCTTAAACAGTGAACATCGTTGAATTGTAATTATTATGTTGGAATGATAGTAAAAATTATTATAAGAAAAAATACATGGAAAGTTTTGATGATACTCAGATGTTATGGCATTGAATTTGACGATGATAATGCTTTATTTTAATATTTGGGCCCATACTCTATGTCTTGTCTGATGTGGAAAAAAACAGCTTCGAGGAAACTTCAATAGAAACATAATGATAATAGTTAATTCTTTTCTTGGAGAGAGGGCTTGAAAAAGGGCATCTCGTGGACTTCACTAGTGGCGAGTGGCGACGAAGACTTAATCTAGGTAGAGCCGTAGAGATAACCATTAATTTATTAACCAATCATATACAACTTAAAGCCAGTTCAGTTCAATCGTCAATCAAGCGTCGTTGAAATTACGTTTCATTATCATTAAAAAAAATATATTTTTATAAATTCCCTTGAGCTATGAGTGTTTGAATTTCTATTGAAAAGTCTAATTATAAGTGTCAAAGTGAACAAGATGATACAAACCATCATTTGGTGGTTTGATAATAAAAAGGTAAGAAAAAAATTTATGAGTTTCTGAGTTTAAATTTCCTAAATATTAATAAGGGTATCTATTATTGCTTTTACTCGATCGCAATGTTAGGGTTTTCATCCTTTTTTTATTAGTTTTTGAAACTGATGGGGAAACTTGACTGCAATCATCATAATTGTCCGAAAACAAAGTTTCAAAACTTTAGGAGGGGTAGATTAAGTTTTACTCACAATTTTATACTAAAAGAAATTGACTAATCGGGAAAAACATACAGAAAAATTAGTAAAATTACTTATTTGACCCTTTTTAGGGGTTAAAATAATTAAATAAAATATAGCTCAAAATTTGAGAATATTTTAATTAAACACATCTTCTGTTTTACATTTGTTTTCATCACTTAATAACCACAAAAAAAGGTCTACGAAATTAAAAATTCAGTATTTTTAATACAAATTCTACGTTCTAAATTTAACTAGGCAAAGGGGAAGGGGGTCTTGAAGAACTCTAAACTCTAAAACCTCTGACCTTATAAAATGTTAAATTAATAAATAACTTTAATTATAAGTTTAAGAGTAAATTTAACAGTCTAAATTCATATATATCCATTAAGATCTATGTGAATCAAAGTCAAACGTCTATTTTACGCCCTTAATATTTCGTTAATAAAGCTACAGACATCGAAAAACTTGCACCGAAATTGTATACCAACCTACGTGTAACACTTTTCTGATTTTTTTAACAATTTTTTTCTAGTGAACGGTCTTCTATCAAATTTGGACAGCCGTTCACTCATATGGACACCCATCCATATACTAAGGATGGACATTTCTATTTAAAGAACGCCCGTCCATAAGTAAAATAGAATAATTTTTTTTTATAAAAATTAGAGACGACTATTCATCTGTTATGGACGGTTGTCTCTTCATTTTGGACGGACATCCATAAATAAGGAACGTCCGTCTTTAATCAAAATATTAAAATGAAAAAATAAAAAAAATTTGGGGACGACCGTCCATCCCTTAAGTTTGGAGGGATGTCCATTAACTTAAAAAAAATAAAAAATAAAAAATTCTAAGCAGTAAACACTTCTTCTTTTTCGCCATCTCCTCTCTTTTTCTCTGTCTTCATTCCCCATCTTCTTCGCCTTCTGAATTGCTTGGGAACCCATTCTTCGACATCAAATGCACCTGGAAAATTCAAGTTCATATGGTTTCCTTAGATAAACAATCTACTTCCTCTATAATAAACAGCATGGAATTCCTATTAGCATATCTCTGAGATATTGTCAATGGAAATGGACTTGCAACTAAGGACCAGTAGCCCCAACTTTATCTTATCACATATAACAGAGTGAGACATGGATGCTTACTGGTGTCAGAGGTTTGATTGGTTCATGCAATTCAAGATCATCAGCACCATGATCCAAGTAAACATCACAGATTCCCTCCGTCACCTTTTCTGGAAATGTTTGAGCAGATCTTTTATTTTGCTCAGCAAGGTGTTTCAGTTTAGCCTCATGCTCCATTCGTCTTTGATACTCCAAGGTTTCTTCGAGCTTTCTTTCCTCAGCTTCAAGCTCAATTTTACGTCTAAATTCCTCTTCCAGTAGTTTTAAGTCATCACCATTCACAGAAACACCAGTCTCTGAATCTGGATGATCACCATCAGATTCTGGATACGAACTGCACTAATCCATGAATTCAATATATTAACAATAAACCCCCTCCCAGTATAGCATCTATTTACAAAAAATGGTGGCATGTAATAGAAAGAGTGAGGGCATATGTGCAAAGAAAGAGCAAAAGGAAGACATACACCTGTTCAGACGTCTCATCATGAACCATATCATGCTGATTACCACCAACAGACTGAAAAATACGAAAATATTAGACCTGCATCATGGATTTTGTACATACAAACAAAAGAAAACCACAAACTTGAAACCTTTGAATCCTTGGTTTTCCTGAAATCTTTGTTTCTTTTTTTATCCTTCGTCTTATCATGTGCATGCTTCGAGTTATCACTACCTCCTCGGGCACCCTTCATAGAATCAAGTGCAAGTTCTGCTAAAAATGCTTCTCTTGCAACATCAGACTTCTCTGTGGCATCTTTCCCCGCAAGATCCTCCAAATTAACCGAGTTCTCATGGCGGGAACAGAACGCCATGAGAACTCGACTTATGTGGGGAATGAAGACAAAAGAATGCTTCCATTAGGAATGTACGTACAAACAAAATAATGGGTTCCCAAGCAATTCAGAAGGCGAAGAAGATGGGGAATGAAAACGAAGAAAAAGAGAGGAGATGGCGAAGAAGAAGAGGTGTTTATTGTTTAGAATGTTGACGCCAGTCTAAACTTAAGGGACGGCCATCAATTCTTAATGCACGCCAGTCTAAACTCAAGGGATGGCCGTCCAAAATTTATAGACGGTTGTCTCAAATTTTTTTCTTTTTTTATTTTCATATTTTGGTTAAGGATAGATGTCTCTTATTTATGAATGCTCATCTAAAATGAAGGGACAATCATATCATAGATAAACAACCGTCCCTAATTTTTATAAAAAAAAATTATTCTATTTTACTTATGGACAGATGTCCTTTAAATGGGAACGTCCGTCCCTAGTATATAGACTCCCGTTCATATAATATGGACAGATGTCCATATGAGTGAATAATGTTTAAATTTAATGGACGGTCGTTGACTAGAAAAAAATTGTTAAAAAAATCAGAGACATATTATACGTAAGCCGGTATATAATTTTGGTGCAAGTTTTTGGGTGTCCATAGCTTTATTGATGTTTCGGAGGGGGCTTCGCAAGAGGTGAGATCATGTATGGTGTAGGAAGCTTCGTTTGCAATTACAAAAGCAACCGTGTGTGCTGATAAATGTGGACCACCAAAAAATATACCTTCGGTTTCTTGACTTTCTTTTACTTTTAAATGCGACTGTTAAGAAGAGTGAACAAGAAAACCTTGATTTAAGGGAGACAATTATTCTTCCTTCTTACTTTATTGCAAAACTCATTTTGAAATTGAGATTAGTTCATTTCTTGAATTGGGTATCTGGGTTTTGAAGATAAGTGGTGGAATGGCAGCTGACTTACTTGGAGGATCTGCGATTGGAGCAGTGTTTGGCGAGCTACTAAGAGCTGTTTTAGAGGCAAGAGAGAAAGCAAAAAACTTTAAGCCCCAGTTGGAGCAACTACAATCCACTTTGAGCAATAATGTTTCGGTTATCAAAAAAATTGAGAAGTATAATGAATTATTGGATTATCCCAAGAGTGAAACTCAATTGATGATTGAGAAAATGAAGGAAGGGGAGCAGCTTGTTCGCAGATGCTCAACAGTGAAGTGGAATTACATTAAAAGGACTCGTTATGCTGATAAACTAATCAAACTGAATAGTTTAATTGACAGGTTCTTTCAGGTTGATATGCAAGCACAACAGACCAGAGACAACAAAGAAATTCTGCTGGGTATGAGAGATCTGCAAAGGTCGTTCACCGCATGTACTAGTAATGGAAGCATCGGTGTCAAGTTTAGTCAAGATGGAATTATTAGACCTTGTTCGGTGCCTGATCCTCCGGAGATGACCCCTGGATTAGATGTACCATTGGAGGAGTTGAAGAGGGAATTGTTAAGGGATGGCAAGCAAGTGATTGTTGTGTCAGCCCCTGGAGGAACTGGGAAGACTACATTGATTAAGAAACTTTGCAAAGATGAAAAAGTTGAAGGTATCAATTTATATTACTGGTTCTGTTTTTGTTTTCTAAGCCCTTTATGGTTAAGTTAATTTGCATATTTTGTTGGAATTCTTCTTTCGGAGTGGAATTTTATTTATAATGATCATCTCCGATAACTTTTGAATTTACATACTGATTGTCTTGAATTGAACTCGGTGGCCTTTATGTAACTCTTGACACTTTTGCTATATTGCTAGATGATTGAAATGAACCTCTGTCCCATTGGTGCTTATGGTATCTGTACATTAAAATTTGTTGTTAGGAGAGTGATAAAGCAATTTTCATTTATCATAGTTTTGCATTATGTACTAAAGTCTGGATTTGGATTAGATAATATGTACACATGGATTTTCCATTATGTCAAATTTCTTTATGTAGAAGTGGCACTTGATTTCATTAGAATTTTTATTGGAAGCATTCTGACACATTATTTCAACAGACAAATTCAAGGACAACATTTTCTTTGTCACTGTTTCTAAACCACACAATGTGAAGGTTATTGTACGGAAAATAATCCAACATATGGGTAAAGATGTGTATGAGTTTCAAACAGATGAGCATGCAATCAATGACTTGGAACGTTTGTTGAAGGAAATGCAATCACCACCCATATTGTTGGTCCTTGATGATGTCTGGCCTGAATCAGAATCCATGCTGCACAAGTTGAAGTCCCAATTGCCCAATTACAAGATTTTGGTGACTTCAAGATCTGTATTCCCAAAACTGGGTTTTGGATATAATTTAAAACCATTGAATGACGAAGCTGCTGAAACACTTTTCCGTTATACAGTGGGTGGAGACTCATACATTCGAGATAAAAAGCTTGTCAATAAGGTGCTCTGTCAATCTGCAGTGCAAACATACATGCAGATATGTGTCTGTTTTCTTGTTATTTTTATCCTCATTATTCATTTATTGGATACCAAATCATTTTTAGTATGAGTTAGTAAGTTTTTTGCATGTTTAATCACTCTTTCTATCATTAGCCAACATACAGTGACAAATGAGGCCATTGCACTATAAATTAAGCCTTTTGAACAACCACAGCAAACTTTGATCTGATGTGAATTTATTGCAGGTATTGAGAGTCTGTAAGGGATCTCCACTAGCCCTTACTGTAGTTGGTAGATCACTCTGTGGGCGGCCTTCAGCAGTCTGGAAAAGTAGAGTGAAGGAATGGCAGGATGCAACTATTTTCCATTCTAACACTGATTTGTTTGTTTGTCTTCAAAGCAGCTTGGATGCCTTAGATGACAAGCTCAAGGAGTGTTACATGGACCTTGGTTCATTTCCTGAGGACCATAGAATTCCTGTCACTACCCTCATCGACATGTGGGTGGAATTGTATAAAAGAGATGAAGATTATCTTTATGCCATCCTTAGTGATCTCTCCAACGTAAATCTGTTTGATCTAGTGGTCACAAGGTATGCTGGCTATATAGTTCTCTATGATGTAACTAAATGCTTTCTCAAATGATATTTTTATAGGGAGGAAAAGCAAACAAAGTTTTGGGGAGCCACAAGTAAAGTTTAGCATTTTGTCATTTGTTTTATGGATGACTGTCTTCAATTGCTGCACATGATAATTGATTGTGATGAATTGTCTATTTGAGCTACTGACTATTTATTCTATTAACTTAGCAAGTCTCTTGCGCTATATCTACAGAATTTGAATCTGATCCTGACTAATCAATTTATGTCTATTCAACCGAAAAAATGGCAGTGATGATGGCTCCTACAACGATCACTTTGTTGTACAACATGATCTTCTCAGAGAGCTAATTATCCATCAAAGCTTATTGGAACCAGTAGAAAAGATGAAAAGACTATTCATAGAGATAAGTGGAAACAATTTTCCTCCGTGGTGGTTGGAACAGAATCTGCACCCGGTTAATGCCCGTCTCTTGTCAATCTCCACAGGTTTTTCATTTCTAACACACCTTCTGAAATGTTTTTATTTTTATTTGTTCTGCTTATTACTAAGTTGGACATAATTCGCAGATGAAACATTCTCATCCAGTTGGTATGACATCAAAGCACCTGCAGTTGAAGTTGTAGTTCTGAATGTTAGAACAAAGGAGTACACCATGCCAAATTTTATGGAGAAGATGGAAAATTTGAAGGTCTTGATAGTCACAAGTTGCGGATTCCTTCCTGTTGAATTAAGTAACTTTCAGCTTCTTGGTTCTTTGTCAAATCTAAAGAGAATTAGATTGGAGCGAGTGTCAATTTCCTTTGACATGACAACGATACAGATGAAGAATCTGCAGAAGTTATCCATGGTTTTATGCAATGTGGGTCAGGTTTTTAGTAGTTCTACCTTCCAAATTTCAGATGCATTTCCAAATTTGAAGGAGATGGACATTGACTATTGCAATGATCTTGAGGCACTGCCTAACGGGGTATCTGATATTGTCTCCCTAAAAAATCTCAGCATCACCAATTGTCATAAGCTGTCCCAACTGCCCGAAGGGATTGGCAAGCTGGTAAACTTAGAGGTGCTAAGGCTTGCTTCTTGTACTGATCTGGAAGCATTGCCAGACACAATTGGGAACCTAACCAATTTAAGATTTCTTGATATATCTGAATGTCTAAGCATCACAGAATTGCCAGTACAGATTGGTGAGTTATACAGATTAGAAACACTCCACATGAGAGGCTGCTGTAGTTGTGATCTACCTACATCAATCACGAATCTTAAAAATTTGGAGGTTGTGCAATGCGATGAAGAGACAGCTTATAAATGGGAAGACCTAGAGGCCTTTTTCACAGATATGAGAATAGAAGTGCCTAAAGAAGATATCAACTTAAATTGGCTTTACAAATAACATTTGTGAGAAATTTCAAATAATCCTCACGTTCCATTGACTTGTAATTATGTTAGAATGGAAGTGAGAGAAAAATTTTCATGGGGAGGTAGTGTGTATCATTTCTGTACTTGATGTATCTGTTCAAGTGATAATCTAAACCAGAAGTTCTGGATGAATTAGGGTATTGTCCACTTAATTTCTAAAAGAGAAATTAAACGAAGTTAGTTTCATGTATATATTCTGAAATAGAAAAGAAAAAGTTCCTTGTAATTTAAAAAGAGCAATGAGGTGAGTGGTTTCAGTGTCATGTGGGATTACATGTCCATTGTTGCTTGGCTTCTGCCGTTTGTCCCAGTGTTTTGGGAAAAATTTGTACAGTATTACGCTTACAAAGCCAAAACTTTCAAGGATGTAGAAGCTTATAACTTCTCCAACAGTAAACCAAAATGCAGTGACTGAAATATCCTAGCTACATTCATAAAACCAACATATTTTAGCAACACTTAGGATGGAGAAGATGAAAAACAAAACTAATTAAAAACAATAAACAGAAACAAGGGTGATTGTAAACTAGAAACAGTATCTTTTATACTCTATAAACACGTAGATACCGAACGACTTTGAACTTTCACAGAGTCTCCAAGACCTGGAAACGGAAAATTGTTTTGTAAAATCGTTATCGAACAGGCCCGCCTTTTAAGTGATTGGTTTCTTACATTCTTGCGTTGGGCTAAGTCTCAGTGGCAGAGCATATCAGAGAAAATGGTTTTTTCAGAGAGAAAATTATGCTTCCTTCTTTCTTAGTTTGTTTGAAAACTCCAATGATAAGACAAGTGATGGCAGCTGCATTTTTTGGAGGAGCTTTTCTTGGAGCAGTGTTCGCGGAGCTACTAAGAGCAATTTCAGAGGTAAAAGACAAAACACACAAGTTCAGGCCCCGATACAATGAGATGCTTAGCCTTTTTTTTTCTTCCTTTTTATAGCTAAACCTGGAACAAGTGGAGCGAGATAGCGCTTGATTAACAGGCCTCCTCGTTGGACAATATTTTGTCACAAAATCTTTGAACTCCTGAAAGTAATAAGAAACCGTCCAGTGGAATGAGAATTTGTTGTCAGGAGAGTAATGTAGCAAATTTTATTTCTTACTTCTGAGTTAAATAATTTATATTATATGCATTTCCATTTACGTACAAATGTCTTGATCTAGAAATGGCACATTATACATGGTGTACTTGAACAGGAAAATTCAAGGACAGCATTTTCTTTGTTACTGTTTCTTCAACACCCATTGTGAAGGTGATTGTACAAAAAATATTCAATCATAAGGCCTGTGATGTGCCTGAGCTTAAAACAGATGAAGATGCCATCAGTAATTAGGAAAATAGGATTAGAGGGTATACACAATTGGTCCTTGATGATGTCTTTTCTGGGTCCGAATCCACATTGCAAAAGTTCAAGTTCCAATCACACAACTGCAAGCTCTTGGTGTCTTCAAGATCTGTGCTCCCACAATTTTGTTCCGGTTATAATTTGAAACTACTGAATGAGGAAGCTGCCTTGACTCTTTTTCGTTATTGAGATATCCTACCAGATGGGAACTCGTACATTCCAGATCAAAATCTTCTTGATAAGGTGCTCTGTCAATCTGCAGTACAAACAATCACAAATGTGTCTTTTTCCCTTTTATTTATCTGCTTCCTTCTTTTGTAGCATGCATATATTATATATGAGGACCTTTTTTCCCCCTACTAAATCATTTTTTATTAGTATATGCTAGAAAGCATCTATGAATCTTCAGTCATTCCATGAGCAACATAGAGTGACAAATGAGACCATTGCACTCTTAAGTTGATTCTTTTGAACAACCAAAGCAAACTTTGATTGGGTGTGAATCAATAACACAGATATTAAGAGCCTGTAAGGGATCTCCACTGGCCGTTAGTGCAGTCGAAAGAAGAGTGAAGGAGTGGACTTGGGATGAACTACTTTTCAGTCTAACACTGATCTGTTTGTTTGTCTCCAAACTAGCTTAGGTGCCTTGGATAATGAACTCAAGGACCTTGGCTCATGTCCTGATAACCAAAGAATTCCTGTCGCTGCCCTCATTGACATGTGGATAGAATTGTATAAACGGATTGAAGATGATCTCTATGACCTTAATCTAGTGGTGACAAGGTAATAGTAGTCTATGATTTAATTTAACTACACGGTTTGTTTTCTGAATGACTTGACTTAGATTCATGCAAATGAAAATAGATTGTGATGAAATTTAATCTGTCCGTGAGCAATCAATTTATGTGTATCCACCAGGAAAAATGTCAGTGACGATGGCTGCTACAATGATCACTTTTTTAATACATCATGATCTCTTCTCAGAGGACTTATTATCCATATAAGCATGTTAGAGCCCATAGAAAGCTCTCGTCAATCGCCACAGGTTTTCTTATCATATTTATTATTTTTCTAACATCATTTGAAATATGTACAGTAATTAGTTTTTTCCTCCTTGTTCTCATCATTTCACTAAATATAGGACACAATTTTTCGAAAAGTCAATCTTAACAGGTCTCTAACTAACAGTATAAGTGGATATTGGATATAAAGATGTATATATGCTCCTCTTTGTTCTGTAACACATTTATCAGCACATGTTGTACAAAGCATATGTATATAAATTGGGAATTAAAGCAAAACAATACCACGAACTACAGCAACGATTCAAAAAAATAATTGAATAGTTCAACAAAGGGAAATCTACCCCTTGATTGAAATATTTTTACCAGTTACTACACCATGACTATGAGACATCAAATTTCTCCACATATAAAGGTATAAAAGCTTCATGTTTCTAACAATGCTGACTCAAGACTCCAAGGATCTTATGTTAACTGAAACCAACACTTACCCGAGGCAGTACTTTGGTAATCTACTACCTACCACACTTTCTCTTAACTAGATATTCACATTTCCCCTAGACCCAAAATTACTAAATTGTCGAAGCTGCCGCCAATAAGAATTTCATACACACACAGCTGCTATTACAGTGCATAAACTATCTCTCCACTACTGTCAATATCGAGGTCCGATTCAGAATCTAAATCCTCCATGTCATCATCCATGTCAAAGTTGTCTGTCATATATCGGTTAAGCCCATTTCCAACTGCTGGTATGGAGGCCTCAGCAATAATCTGCATGATCACATCAATGCTCTGCATTGGTTGATCAGGTTCTTCATAATGGCTACCCATTGTCTTTTCGTCCACCAGGTCTGCAGGCAGGTTCTTCAAAAACCACTGATGGTTCCTAATTTCAGGAATCGTGATTCTCTGTACCACATGTATACAAAAGAGCATGAGATTTTAAGCAAGTCCAAACCCTAAAATGGAAGAAAACAAATTCCAACATAAAGTTCTTTACTAATACCTATATTTTATAAGCATTTAAAACATCCCTATCGTTATGTTTAATTACACAAGTGCAGTTGCTATTAAAGCATTTTCCTTCAAAACCATATCTCTTAAGTTGTTATATACATCAGGCATAATTCAAATATCTACATAATAAACTTGGACTCTGAAGAAAGAAAAATTACTCACGGTTGCAGGATCAGCGACAAAAATTCTAGAAATCAGATCGCGGCACTCCTGAGATATTTGAACAACATCTGGAATGGCATACTGGACACTGAGAATCCTCTGCATGAAGCCAATTATAAACATGTCTTTAGTCAAAAAAATAAAGTTGAATAAAAAAAAAAAGTATATGATGTAACAATAAGGTTCCATTAATTAATACTTGTATTGTTTTCCTGAAATCCTTTGGCTCCTCAGGATCCTCAAAAGGATATGCTCCCACCAACATCACATATAATGTTACACCACATGACCATACATCTGCAATCTGTAGTAACAAGAACAAAGCAGCACACTTTTATATAATCAACTTACAATATCAATTAAGATAATTGAAGGTATGCAAACCAATAAACCAACGATAGAAAAGACAAAATTACTTAAACTGAGAAGCAGGCTACTAATCTAAGTTTGAGCAATGTTTGCTAATAAAAGCACTTCTTTTATATTTCAGATATGTTATTTGCCAAAATAAGACAAAAGTTGTAGAATGTAGATTCTAAATTTCAACTAATGAAAGATAGAACTAAAGAGAGCCTTGGAGGCATCACAATTAAATGGGAGGATAACAAAAGACCTAAGAGAGAGTAGAGAACTCTAGGTAGACACAAGGTTCTTCAACAGCAGGAACCACAGGATATTTGTAACGGCATTTTTGAAAACCTTCCACAACCAGGGGCAGGTCCAGCATGTGCTTCCCCACCAACCCCAGAACCCCAATTTTTTGGGGAAAATAAGTACATATAGAATAGCAAAAATAAAAGATATATCATATTTCTAACCAAATTTTCATAATTAATATTACACATCACGGGAATCTTATTACAAGTTCTCTCAGAAACAACTCCTGCAAACCAAAATTCCACTCCACTTTCCTCATGCCAATCGTGAAAGAAAATCCAATGCTTGCTAATTGCTATTTAGCAATAATTAGAATGTCCATGACAATCAATTGAAAGGACAAAATATTATACGTTTCCTTTCTCTATTTTACTTATTTTTGTATACTTTAGAAATATAAATTTTTCTCATAAATTTGTATTAAAAAATTTTGGTGGGTTGTTAAGTTATAACCATATATTGAAATTTAAAGAAAAAAATCCTATATTTTTTCTCTTTTCAAACATACTTTTTGAGAAATGAGCCAAAATATTTTTTCTTTGAATAACTGCTTAAACAAAATGATGTGTTAAACATTTCTCAATTATAATATTCATTTTGAATAAAAGTTGGCCACAACTGTCATAGATACAAATATTCTTCTTTGTATGTTCTTTCTTCTGTAGATATAATATGTAATTTCTATTTTATAGCCCATTTTCTTCTAGATGGTGTCACTGAACTTTTATTTCCTAAATGAGATAGCAACTGTCTCCACAATTAAAGTTATTAGATACTTTATTTATATTCAATTTTATATTAAAAAATAAATACAATAAAAACATCAGTCTTGCTCATGATTCATAATAAACATCTTGGCCCTGATCTAGGATAGGATCTCACCTAGACATTGAGGAGCCCATGGCTCAACTAGATTCACCATCGGTATTCCCAAAGGTTTAGTTTAGGTCACTTAACACTCAGGATCTCCAGTTGAGAAAAAGTTCAAAGATTACAAACATCCCTACCCAGGCTTACCCTCAATGAGCTGATCTCTCTCAATATCCTAACCAAGCTAAGACCCTGAGTCCCTGACTTCCTGAAAACTTCTACGATTCACATAAACTGAGAAATAGCTGAAAACTTATGGGAAAAGTTACGCATGAGAAAGTGTTGTTCCAGCTGAATACCAAACTTGGATTGAAATGACTAATTATATGCTGAACATTCAAGAGAGGCAATTAAATTGAATTCCAGCCCATTAAGACTGTATATAAAAGTTTAAGTTCAAAAAGTGCCAGGGTGCAGGATTGGGCAAGCAGGAGTAACCAAAATAGACAACACAACAAAGACAAAAGGAAACTAACCCAACAAAGTATGGCAAGAACTCGGTTGGGGCCCATAACAATATTCTTTATCTACAATGGAAGGCATGGTGAAATCTTTATGAGAAACTGGAGTGACTTTAACAGCCATATTTAATCAAACTGTTTTATAGCAGCCTATAATTGCTAAAGAGAATGCAGGGCTTGCTAATTGTTCCCATGGATGGGATTATACGAAAATTGACATTGTCAATAATCAATCTAAAACACGACGACTATAGGTCACTTTCGACACAAGGCATCATTTCAGTCATAATACTAAGACATGCTCTTCGTAAGCTAAAATCAAACTGTGAAAGGATATAAAAGAACTCGGTGCCAATAGGTTAAAAAGAAAAGACCAGCAGAAAAATGTAACCTAGGCCGCATTACAATGTAACAAAGAGAAAACAAATGGGATATGATATCATCACATTAATATGCATAACTAGAAAGCAGTGCACCAGGCAACTATACATAAATATCTTGCCAACAAATGATTATATTCGAACATATTTTTCCTTCAAGCTTTAATAAAAAGGCTATGGTTGCAAAGGAAATGTTTGGTATGAACTAGTTTAAATTAAGCTGTAAAAGTATACCTTGCCATCATACTCTTGCTTCAGCAATACTTCTGGAGCAATATATGCAGGAGTTCCCACGGTTGATTTAGGTTGTGAATGAAGCACCGAGGACTGAGAAAGAAAACATCCATAAAACACAAAAAATAACTGACAATAATTACTGGTCAATTTTTTATGTAAGACTACAAAACACAAAAGAAAACCACCGAACCCAAATAAAATAAGATTAGAAAGAAATCTTGGCCGAAAAACATGCAAAATCAAAAGCTTTTATCCCAATCTGCCTAGTAGTCCAGGGAAACAACAATACATGGCAAGTTAACCAAGGCTGAAGAAACTGCATGAAAAGTTAAGCAAGGACTTTTTATCATATATATCCAAGATACTAGGTAAGAACAGAAATGGCGTCAGAGAAATAAGAAAGATAAAGACAAGCAGCACCTTAGAGTACCCAAAATCACTATCTTTAACCGAGGAGCCAGGCTTCCATCCAACAATGTGTTTTCCAACTTTAAGTCGGTGGCATACTGCTTTATCCAGAAACACCAAAGAAAGCAAATGAATACTCAAATTTGGCCCAAGATACAAAATGATATATTTCTAACTGAAAAATGGGTTTATCACAAAAAGAAAATAGAATAAAAAGGTCATACACAATAAAAATTACGTTACCATTGCATGGCAATAGCTGACGCCAGATATCAGCTGCTGAAAGAAGAAGCGAGCCTGCACTAAAACAAAGCCAAAATAAAGAAGCCATGCAAAAAGATATGCTAGGAGAAGAAGAATGCAAAATTTGGCATGTGAACCTCATCCTCACTGAACGCCCCAGCATTGCAATCGCTCGGAAAGCTCTCCACCAGATGCATATTCCATTACAAAGGCTAGAGGGTAGGTGTCAAAATAACCTGTAGCAGGATTTACAGAAAATAGTTGAAAGATTTATCTATGAAGCACTTTGAAGGCGAACACAATATTCAAAAAAGAATGATCACGAAATGAACTAACCTCTTAAACCTGACAATATTAGGATGCCTCAGTGACCTGTGATTAATTATCTCTCTTTGAACATTCTCATCTATCTGCAACCACAGTACCACAAGAGAAAGCCAGAGGAGTTGAAAACTTACATCACTCTAGATTCACACACGCAAGCTTTATTAAAATAATTTTATTGGTAGATTTTATATTTAATAAGGGCATTAGAACATTAAATCCCCATCCTCTTGTACACTCTTAAGTGTCTACTTGAGGTTGCCAACCAAAAATAAAAAAAAAAATTGAAAATGACCAAAAAAACCCAAGAAAACTACGGTTTACTTTCTCATTTATCACCGGGAAAAAAAAAATTGTTATTCTGGTTATGACTCATGGTCTTCTTATTTGATCTTAAAGGAAGAGCCTATCCATGCTTGCCTAAAATATATATAACCCCTTAATCCCTTGTATAAGCCTTGTCATGCAAAAACAGAAATACTACTTTTACATAAATGCTTTAATATAACTTATATACAAAATGATATGTCTACATTAGATGATAATGAGATCAAAACAATCCAGCCCACAACGAAATGTTCCGGATATTGAAACTCCGGAAATCTAATACGTCAAAAATTTTCAACTTCAACAACCAAACACAGACTCATTTCATCCATGTTTAAAGTCAAACCCGTTTTCTTTCTTTTTCTTTCTTTTTTTTTTCCCCCTCTAGCATTAGATTTTTTTCAGCGATTAAAGATAATACTCATTAATCTTCCCAAAAAAGGAGGAAAAAATCAAAAATGAAAACGTATTTACTATCTCGAAAGCCGCCTCACAACAGACAAACTCGCAAACATATCCACAAATAACAAAAAGTAAAAGCGCTAAAGTTAAAAAGACAATCGAAACGGCAAACATTTCCATAATTTGCTAAAATTATGGAATGTAACAGGTAGTCAGGTACCAAATTTAGCAAAACAAAAACCATCGATCACTAATTATTTCAAATGAATTTCCAAGACTGACCTTATCTCCTCTCTCGATGTACTTAACAGCAACAAGTTCTTTGGTGAGTTTGTCTCTCATTAGCCGAGCCACGCCGAAGTTACCGGAGCCGATATCTTTGACCAAATCGTACCGGTCGCTGTCGTGCATGATCGGCATGTCCATCGCCGGCCCTACTGTTATCGCCGCCCGATCCATTTTTTTTTTCTGAGTTATCGATTATTCACTTAACACAAAAACTCACCACCACATTGAATTAGATAAGACCGCTTCAAAAGAGCGCCGTTTTGTGGCGTAATAAAATCAATAAAGTGCTAAACAAGTAGTCCTTTACTTGAAGATTGCCACAGAGAGATATTTAAGTAATCAGCGACAGGTTAATATTTTTTTCTGGTAAACGAACAGCAATGGAGATGGGTCGGATGACTTTGGATGAGAGGAGATAATGAGAAGGAAATAGTTGATATATACAAGGTAAACGGGACAAAAACTTAAGTCGTTTTGATTCAAAGCGACGACGTTTAGCTGTTGGCTGCCTTGTCAGTATCATAATGTTTGTTTTCATTTCCTGGCTTTGCACTTGTCTCTCTGTATTTTAGTCGATTGCTTGACCTTCTTTGCTTCCTAAATGGCGAAAATGACCTTTCTCTGCTCTGGGTAAATTTCAGGGGCATTGGTCACGTGATTCCTTCAGTCTACCAAAGCGTAATGAAATCATCAGACGGTTGTCATTCAATCCCTATTCATCACATCAAAGGAATGGTTATGATAATCTTTTTATTATACTATAACTTTATGTGAAAAGAAATTTGAAGAAAGTGTCTTTGTTAAGATGCAATAGCCAATAGGTGTAGCCGCACAATCCCCAGGACATTTTGGTGAAATCAATACAAAGAAGTGGAACCCAGCACCTTGGAACAGAGGAAAGTTTCTGGTTTCAGGCAGGCAGTAATTGGATAATAAATTAAATAAGCTTATCTTGGAGAATAATCTCGGTGTATACAAGACGTAACAACGTTACTTATCAATGCCGTTGAAATTAAGTTGATTCTATGATTAGCCATACAAAAGATATGATCCATAAATACAAGGGAGGGCATACTATAAGCTAACATTTCTTATTGATTAAAAAGGACAAGGGAGAATCTTTCTACCATGGGTCGGTTGTTAATGCCTAGAAAAGTGAAAGCAACCCATTGGGGATATATTTGTGTTTATATATACAGGTAATATTAAGAAAATCATTTAGATGAAAGGGACACGTGGACGTAGTTGCCTACTTGCCTAGTTGGGTGTATCCAGATTGTTACATGTTGTTAATTAATAATTATGCGACTGAGTTGATGATTTTTTTTAACCATAATGAAACATTCTTATTCACATATTATCAAATTTTAAAATATTATTTTATTATTTAAATTTATATTCTATTTTTAATTTTGGTATTGTTACAATCTCTCATTATCATTATTCTTTTTTCCGATCATCACTCATCATAATCGTTTAATCTCTATTCTCGCAATCCCATCGATCGTCGGTAATTAATCAAATAAGGTTTGTGTAACTATTCCTCCTAAATCAAATTTTTATTAATCCCTCCCAAATACTAAAATTGAACCTTCTATAATAAAAAAACTTATCAATCAATCATTTTCAAAAGTTTGGATAGTCACAATTAAGTTTATATTTTAGAATATAAATTTAATAATAAAATAATATTTCAAAAGACAGAAAAAAGTTGTTAACTCCTCTGCAACAAGCCACGGGGTATTAATTAATTAAGTTTGAATGTGGGATTTATGAAATTCCAATTATACCATTGGTGAATTGGAATGATTCTCTAAAAGATACCTTTCTTCGGTTTTGGAGTTTCAGATGGCCTTCTTTATCATTCAATAGCTTTAAATAAACTGAACCGTCCTTTTCATTTTTTAAATATCTTAGCGTAACTTTCAATCATTCGCTTTTTATATATAACTTATCTTAAGTTTAAATATCTTTATATAATAAGAGCATCTCCGAACACTACTTTTGTTTGTTTTATGGAGTATTTTTCATTAATTTTTAAATATAAACAACGTAATTTTTATTCAAATCTAAAAATTTTTTTAAATTTAATGAAAATACTCTTTACTTATAAGAAAAATATTTAATGCAAGAGAAAATTAATAAATAAAATACATAAAAACTTGTAGTTTATTAATTAAAATTATGATTTAGTCAAATTTGACTCTCTAAATATGGAGAGTCAAACTCACTCTCTAATTTATATTTTAAAGATAAAGAGTCTGTTGGACTCTTATTTATATAGATAGACTCTTTATAATAAAGAATTTGAGTCATATAAAGAGTCATTTGCAGATGCTCTAAGATACTATTTTTGAGTAACCAAGACTAGGTCTACAATCGAACTGAATACGAACGAATAACCCTATTCGAAACTCGTTCGATAAGCATGAAAGACTGTTCGATAGCGATTCATGAAAACAGAAAGCGAAATAACTTACGAGAATCAACTGCAACTTCCTTGAATCTGGGTTTGCGAATTAAAACTGAAATCTCTCCCCTTTAGTCATTTATATTCTGTCTCTGTTTGTTTGATTATCTTATTCCCACCTAATTGCTGAGTGTTGAGGCGCTGGGGGTTGTCGCGTTGTCCAAGCTCAAAATTGCAGAAAAAATTATGGGCTGTGAACTATGATATGAGTGAGGCTGTCGCAATACACAAAAGGAAAAAGGTGGAATTTTGGGCCGGGTAAGGGAAAATGTGGAATTGGGTTTGGACTTTGGGTTTTTGTTTTAAAATTTGGGCTGGGCCTGATAAGGGAAAATGTGAAATTAGGTTTATATATATATAAAATGTATAATTGTGTATGTACAAAATTATTATCATACATATATTAATTATAAATTAAATATGTTTAATATGTTATGAAATTATCAAAATTATAAGTTATTATATATTTATTATTATTATATAAATTATCATAAATATTTTAAATGTTTACATTATATTTTGTATCAACACCTATAATTCATAGTGGAATGAGGGTCTATTATATATATATATATATAATATTAATTATATATATATATCTTATATATATATATATATATATAATTGTATATATACAAAATTATTATTATACATATATTAGAGGGTGTTTGTCTAAGCTTATAAGCTGGTCAAACTAATTTGTAAGCTCTAAAATTAAACAGACCTGTTTGTTTATAACTTTTTTGAGTTTATAAATTGAGCTTATAAGTGTTTATAAGCTAGTTTGATCAAATATATTATCACAGTATCCTTATTTAATTTTAAAATTCTATAGTATACCCTTGTTTAATGTAGTACTTTTTTTAGTCATTTTTATAATAAAATATACTTATAAGCCACATTTTACCAAACACGTCAACTACTTATCAGTCACTTATAAGTACTTTAACCAAACACGTAATTGTTTAAAATTTCAAATGCTTATAAGCTAAAATTAGCTTATATGCACTTAGTTGCTTATAAGCTCATTTTCATAAGCTCAGACAAACACCCCCTTAAATATGTTATGAAATTACCAAAATTATATGTTATCATATATTTATTATCATTACATAAATTATCATAAATATTTTAAATATTTACATATATATTTTGTATCAACACCCATAAATTCATAATAGAATGAAGGTCTATATGATCAATACATATGTGTGATTAATTTGTTATCTATAATATATATAATGTGTAATTGTGTATATGCAAAATTATTAAATATGTTAAATATATTATTAAATTATCAAAATTATAGGTTATTATATATATATATAGGATCATTACTGTCTACATATATATTTTGTATCAACACCTATAAATTCATAGTGGTATGAGGGTTTATTGTAATATATTATCAATACAAATGTGTGATTAATTTATATTTAATTAAGCTATTAATTATTAATTTTGTCATGCTATATATCACTTGATTATACAATATGTTATATTCATAAATTTGTCATATTATATTTAATTAAGATATTATATTATTAAATTTATCATGCTATGTATCACTTAGGGATACAATATATTATATTCATCAATTTACTATACTATATTTAACTAAGCTATTATATTATTAAATTTGTTATGTTATACATCACTTGATCATACAATATGTTATGTTCATCGATTTACCATACTATATTTATTATTTTATTAATTGAAATACTATCTTATAATATTTAATTATTGTTTACATTTGGAAAAATATGAAGCTATTATGTTATTGGATTTACTATATTATATATCACTTGATTATAGAATCTATTATGTTATTAAATTTGTCATACTATGTACATAATAATTTATTACTTTTAATTAAAATGTTATATACTTATATATTTAATTATTAATGACATTTGGAAAAAAAAAAAATCCAAACATATTATATATATACGAAAAACAAAAGTATTATAATATTTTATTATTGATTACCATTAAAAAAAATTTATCTAAACTAAACCAAACATAATATAAAAAAGAAAAAAAAAAGAAAATTATAATAATGCATACTTTGTTTTTCAAACATAAACGAACGAACAATCGAACAGATTGTTTACGAACGGATAGATCAGTCGAACGTATAATATTCGCGAACATAATTGAACAAACAACCTATGTTCGAACTCGATCGAACATATTATCGAACAAATATCGAATTATCCATAAATAATATCGAATAGTTATCAAACGAATATTGAATTGTTCGAGAATTGTTCAGTTCATTTGCAGCTCTAACCAGGACCGCAGATATTTTTCTGAATTGGGACTCAATATGCGACATTGTTCGCTAGAATCATTTAATTCTACGTTGTTTTGTTTTATATATACAATACAATATATTATAGATTATATCAACATAATCTCTCAGTAAGATATAGATCTATACCTTAAAAGTAATTACTAATTTTTTATTACTAAAAAAATATTTGATATATTAATTAAAAATAATAAATTTAATAAAAAAGAACTGATATATATTCCGAAATTTCACTATAATTTTTTTTTTTTTTAAATAATTGAGGGTATCTGAGCCAACTTACGTATATCTCAGCTAATCCTCCGGGACCCTAGAGCTACAAGCTGAGTAACAATTCTAGTGGTTACCTCTATTAGCACCCAAAATGGACTCTAATTCAGGACATTTTGAGTAATATATCCAAAAGTTTCTATTGAATCACTCGATCACCTATAGGTAGTTTAATATAAATAATTGTTATGCTTAATCAAATGTATTTAATTAAAAAACTATCAATAAGTTTCACCGTGAGAGGAGGAAAAAAAACTAGAGATGGCAATAGGCCCGATATTTTCGGATACCCTGCCCGGTCTGGCCTGAAAAGGCTGAGCTTTACCCGATGTTTGAGAGCTTGGGCTTGGGCCTGGCCTGATTTTAAGACCCAACCTCGGGTACGGGCCGGGCTTGGGTATGTCTTCAGGCCCGGGCCAACTCGACAATTTTAGTATTAATTTTACTAAATTATCTTTATACTATATATTTAATTACAAGATTATTCTCCATATATATATAATTTTTCCCAAACCCAAATCTCATCCCATTTGATGAGTATTCAAAAATAAATAAATATTTAAAAACTATTTTTAGAATTAAAAATATAAAAAAAATTTGAAATTTATAAATATTTAAAAAGTCACATTATAAAAATGGGCTGGGCCTGAGGTTACAAAAAACCCGTCGAGACGGGCTTGGGCCTTTGTCATGAGGTCGGGCTTGGGCTTGGGCCAAGGGGTACCTGGTTCTGTCCTAACCCATTGCCATCACTAAAAAAAACCATTGCTTCGAATGTTGGATTGGTTTTTTTTTTTTTTTTTCTCCTTTTTTCCTTTTTAATATTGGCATGTTCTTGTAGTTAATTAATGTGAATTAAATCTTCTTTTTCATCAAGAATTAATTAACATATATCAGTAGCACTCTCTATAAACATTTAAAAAAAAAAAAAAAATTCTTAGACTATATATTATAGGGAATAAGAGGACATAAACATTAAAGTGGGACGAAGATAAGAAGGGAAAGTTACTGAAAAGACCCTCTTTGAGGGGGCGAATTGAAAGCTAAGTACATTCAAAAGGGACTCCAAAAAATACCTTTCTCCCTCCCGTTTTATTTTTATTTTTCGTTTTTACCCCCATCTTTCTCATGCAAATATTCGTTTGCCATCATTGGCATGAAAGTGTGACTGTCAGCTTAGAAAATATCCCCTTTTTTTTTATTTTAAATAAAGTTTCTCGTACCATTAAACAACAATTTGTATCGTTAATCATATTACATTTTCATTTTACTTGGCGAAATGCCTTAATTCAATGTTTATTATTTGAGCTATTTAAAGGTAGTTTTGTTTAAATTTTGAAGAGAATTTATAGTTTGTAATGGAATTGAAAGATTTAAAGAAAGGCTTGGGGCTAAGGGGTTTGCTCCCCCTGTAGTCTCAAGTTCGAATCACAAAAACAGTTGTTAATATTGTCAGTCACGGATCATAGAGTTTGTCTTGTTTTGGAAGCTTTATTCGGGGTCAGGAGACTAGTCGAAGTGCGTGTAAATTGGTTTAGACACTTTCGATAAAAAAAAAAAAAAAAAGATTTAAAGACGGTTGAGTGTTTGATGTAGGTTTGAGACTGGGGAAAAAGGGGAAAAGGGTGCAGTGGTGAGAGTCCATTTTGAATGTGATCGTTTTCAATTCACGTCCTCAAAGACAAAGAGGGTCTTTGTACTTTGTAGTAATTTTATGGAATAAAGATCATCCGGACAATACTAAGCTAATGGGCCACGGGCTTCATGACACGAAACTATATCGGGTTCAAAACGATAAAGAATCAACCTTATTACGCCCATCATAGGACCAAAAATGATAAAAGGACGCTGTTTCTCCGTGACTAGTAACAAGAAAGAGGAGAGACAAGATTACATAACCGTTAGGAATGTTTATTTATTTATTTTTTATATTTACAGATATATGCTGTAAAATAGTAAAAAGAGGTTAATTGATTTGTAGGATTATATATTGAGTTAATGACTTTTTTCCACCCAAATAATGGCTTTAATAACACTTTTCTATCCACAAACTTTTAAAATTGTCACTTTACTATCAAAATTTATATTCTGATAGTGAACAAAGAGCAAACTCGGTTCAAACAATTAGAGCTTTTGAAAAAGGGAGGCTGATGAGTATTTTGGTGATTGAGATTGATCGAAATTTGACTTAAAAAGGGTGATTGTACAAACTCTAATCGCTTGATTTTCGACAATTGAACGATTTTGGTGAGTGATGATTGGGAAAAAGAACAATAGTGGTATGGGGTTGCAACAATGTCGGAATCAGAAACATAATATATCTTAAAAGTATGTGGGTGGAAAAGTGTCATTAAACTATTATTTGGATGGGGAAAAGTCGTTAACTCTTTTATATTTGTGATTTTATAAAAACAAAAATGGCCCATATCATAGTCAAGGAATACAGTCTGAAAGGATTGCTAAAAATTAATAAATTCTATGTTTAGATTTAAATGATACTTGGTTCAATCATCCCATAAATGTATCCAAACATGATGGTAGACTTTCCTTTTCTTTTAGTTGTTAGAATTTGATCACATTTTTCTTGCCTGCAATTTTGGACCGTACATCACCACGCCATCAACCAATAGCACCACTTTCCAAATCCAAAACAGCAAACTTTAGAACATTTAGAGGGCAAATCAGTAAAATCAGCACTTCACTAAAAGCCACAGGTACAGAGCCTTCACTTTCACTCTTTAACGGGCAACGATAAACAGTTGAGCGAGAAACAAAAGAAACTTTTGTTCTCTTTGTATATATATTTCCACATTTGTCCTCCTCAACTCCAAAACCAAACCTAACTGAAACCGTCAAACCGAAGTACGGGACCCGGCAAGAGAGAAAAATTAAAAAAAAAAAAAAAAAAAAAAAAAATGGTATCGGACTTGGAACTTATCGAGCGACTCCAAGAGTTCCTACGAAATTCGGACCTTAATACCACCACCACAGGTATAGTGCGCAGACAATTGGAGGAAGATTTCGCAGTGGATTTATCGGATAGGAAAGTGTTTATTAGAGAGCAGGTGGATTTATTTCTTCAAAGCCAATTTGAGAACGCACAAGACGACTGTGAAAATGAAGAAGAACATGATGATGAGGAGGATGATCAGACGGCTAAAGTTAAGTCAGAGGGAAGCGGCGCTTCTGATGAGGAAGAGGCGGAAGATGATGATGAAGCGAGTAACCGAAAGGGTCCGGCAAAAAGACGGTTAGCTATTGATAATTACATTTATTTTTAAGTAATGAAAGAAGTTTATGTTTACTAGCTAAACGATTGTACATTTTTAATTTTTAGTTTATGACTGATTTTGGATTAATTAAATAACTGTGTTGAGTATGTAGAGCATTAGTGATGAGCTATGCTCAGAATGAATTTTTAAAGTGTTTTGTTTTATTTACTGTCATAGTTTATTAAGTTTGTATATTTTTTAGTAAAGTTATGAATTTTAGTAATAAAGATATACAAAGACCAGCAAAAGTATGATTATATTCAAGTAATTCAAGGATATTTTTGTACTGAAAATTGTTCAAGGATTACTTGAGCTTTAAAAGGTGTAGGTAGGGTTACTTATATAATGAATTTTGATCAAGGAAAGTGTGATAGTGTTATGTTTCATGTTATTCTTTGCTTTATCTAGCATCAATAGCCAGAGTAAGTTATTAGTTATGAATGTAGGGGATTCTGTTTGATTTACTTTTGAAAATGGGAGAGAGATTTTGAATAACAAAACATTGAGAGAATCTGTTTTAATTTGAACAGGTCCTCAAGTAACCGAACCCAGTTGTCTATGATTGCCGTGGAAAACATTGCCGCCGGTTGGCCATTATTACGAAGATATTGTTCCATTATAAAATAAACAATCAAACAAATATTCAAGTTGCTTATTTGCAAGTTTTTCCATTTCTTTGTGATAGAGAATAGTAGATTTTCCTACCTTAATTGGTTGCCCAGGAACTGCTCCAACCATGGCTTTTAGGCTGCAGTTATTCTCTTTTTTATGTGGCTTTTAGATGGAAAACACGCCTTTTCTGCCTGTTTCTGGCATGTATTCTTTGCTCTCAGTTGCTTCTATGTAAAATATCACTTTATATGGTGAAATCTGCAATTTTTTTTTTATGCTTTTGAAGTGGAAATGGGCTGACCATGAGAATATTGAATCTCATATTGCTCAATAAAATGCTCAGGCATTATTCGAGTAAAAATTTTTCTCTATGTAGAAGGAAGAGGGTTATACACATTTATCGGGGATCTAAGGTTGAAATCGGTTTATTCAAGGGGCATATTGCTTATGTCATTTATTAGAAAATTTTCATCACTCTTAAACAACAGGGCTGCTCCTAAAATACATTGGCTGATTTATTGCTTATTAATATTTNCTTCACTAAAAGCCACAGGTACAGAGCCTTCACTTTCACTCTTTAACGGGCAACGATAAACAGTTGAGCGAGAAACAAAAGAAACTTTTGTTCTCTTTGTATATATATTTCCACATTTGTCCTCCTCAACTCCAAAACCAAACCTAACTGAAACCGTCAAACCGAAGTACGGGACCCGGCAAGAGAGAAAAATTAAAAAAAAAAAAAAAAAAAAAAAAAATGGTATCGGACTTGGAACTTATCGAGCGACTCCAAGAGTTCCTACGAAATTCGGACCTTAATACCACCACCACAGGTATAGTGCGCAGACAATTGGAGGAAGATTTCGCAGTGGATTTATCGGATAGGAAAGTGTTTATTAGAGAGCAGGTGGATTTATTTCTTCAAAGCCAATTTGAGAACGCACAAGACGACTGTGAAAATGAAGAAGAACATGATGATGAGGAGGATGATCAGACGGCTAAAGTTAAGTCAGAGGGAAGCGGCGCTTCTGATGAGGAAGAGGCGGAAGATGATGATGAAGCGAGTAACCGAAAGGGTCCGGCAAAAAGACGGTTAGCTATTGATAATTACATTTATTTTTAAGTAATGAAAGAAGTTTATGTTTACTAGCTAAACGATTGTACATTTTTAATTTTTAGTTTATGACTGATTTTGGATTAATTAAATAACTGTGTTGAGTATGTAGAGCATTAGTGATGAGCTATGCTCAGAATGAATTTTTAAAGTGTTTTGTTTTATTTACTGTCATAGTTTATTAAGTTTGTATATTTTTTAGTAAAGTTATGAATTTTAGTAATAAAGATATACAAAGACCAGCAAAAGTATGATTATATTCAAGTAATTCAAGGATATTTTTGTACTGAAAATTGTTCAAGGATTACTTGAGCTTTAAAAGGTGTAGGTAGGGTTACTTATATAATGAATTTTGATCAAGGAAAGTGTGATAGTGTTATGTTTCATGTTATTCTTTGCTTTATCTAGCATCAATAGCCAGAGTAAGTTATTAGTTATGAATGTAGGGGATTCTGTTTGATTTACTTTTGAAAATGGGAGAGAGATTTTGAATAACAAAACATTGAGAGAATCTGTTTTAATTTGAACAGGTCCTCAAGTAACCGAACCCAGTTGTCTATGATTGCCGTGGAAAACATTGCCGCCGGTTGGCCATTATTACGAAGATATTGTTCCATTATAAAATAAACAATCAAACAAATATTCAAGTTGCTTATTTGCAAGTTTTTCCATTTCTTTGTGATAGAGAATAGTAGATTTTCCTACCTTAATTGGTTGCCCAGGAACTGCTCCAACCATGGCTTTTAGGCTGCAGTTATTCTCTTTTTTATGTGGCTTTTAGATGGAAAACACGCCTTTTCTGCCTGTTTCTGGCATGTATTCTTTGCTCTCAGTTGCTTCTATGTAAAATATCACTTTATATGGTGAAATCTGCAATTTTTTTTTTATGCTTTTGAAGTGGAAATGGGCTGACCATGAGAATATTGAATCTCATATTGCTCAATAAAATGCTCAGGCATTATTCGAGTAAAAATTTTTCTCTATGTAGAAGGAAGAGGGTTATACACATTTATCGGGGATCTAAGGTTGAAATCGGTTTATTCAAGGGGCATATTGCTTATGTCATTTATTAGAAAATTTTCATCACTCTTAAACAACAGGGCTGCTCCTAAAATACATTGGCTGATTTATTGCTTATTAATATTTTAAAAAAAAAAAAAAAAAAAGAACAACAGAGTTAATGGTCACGATGCTGATAGTTTTTAATGCATGTCCTTCAGCAAAGTTAATTAGAATGTCTTTGCATTCAAATTAACACTAAGACCAACCATGTCAGTGCATGAAATTTTTGATGTTGTTTGTAAAAGAAAGCTTTTTCCTTTACTTGTAAAACACTTATAAAATGGTGTGTATCATGAAAAGTTGTTCAAATATAGGTTTGGGAATTTATACTATAAACAATATTTTACTTTTTAAGGGATCTTTGACTTGCAACTGACAAATAAACTCTAAATCTCTATGTAATTTAGTATTTTTTAGTGGTTAATCTGTTGAAATACTTTTCTTTAGCCTGGAAGAATTGAATGTGTAAAAACTGATTTTAGATTTTTTGTTTAGAATTTTAACCTTGGTATGATAGGGTTCACAGCATGGTCATCTTTGCAGTCTTGCAAATTGTATTGTTCACCTCTTGTCAGTGAACTTGTAAGTGTACTTAAGATGATACTTTTGTTATGAAAATTGCTTCCTTGTTTTATTTTCCAATTTATTTATTTATGACCAATAACAATTTAAGGAATAGCTTCAACTACATTGGGATGGATGCTTGAATTGATAAGAGGCCGCACCTGTGATTAAACTTATGGTTGCTTTATCTTACAATCAGGTCTAACAAGCTTAATAATGAGGTCAAGAAAAGAGGGGGCGGTTTTAGCAAATTGTGTAGTCTTTCTCCCCAACTTCAGGAATTTTTGGGGGTGCCTGAACTTGCCAGAACAGAGGTATATCTACTGGGTTATGGAGAATTTACTTTTGCTTTGTTATCTGTTTATCTGATCACTTAGAATTATCATTATCATTATTGTAATGATATGTTTATCTTTGTTTCAAGGTTGTCAAGCAAACGTGGGCCTACATTAGAGAAAAAGATTTGCAAGACCCGAGTAATAGGCGAAATATTATTTGTGATGAAAGACTGCGTGCCCTTTTTGGTGTCGATACAATCAACATGTTTCAAATGAATAAGGCCCTATCTAAGCACATTTGGCCCTTGGATTCAGATGACGGTATGGATCTACATTATTATGTTGGTTACATATCTTTATGCTGGTACCGTTGGTCCCTTACCTATTAAAAATTACAAAGAAAAAACGAACAATTGTTCCAAGCAGTGCTTCATTATTTTTGTTTGCTCTTCAATAGTTGTGAGTGAAAATGATGAGAGTCAATGTGAAACTGGCTACAATTGTATCAATTTAGGCACCCTGCATTTTATGGTACCGTTAAAGCATTGAAAGGAGAGTTTCTAAATCCGATTTTTGGTGTTTCTCGGGCAATGAAATTTAGCTACATGGGCCTCAGTGTTTTAACTAAACCAAGATATTGAATCTGTTGCTTTTTGCATCAATTTTCTCTTAGTGTTTTACTATGTCTGTCTATGTCGTATCACTTTATAGAATGTGTACAAGACTAATTATTCTGTTTTCTATGGTACAGTTGTTCAGCCCAAGTCGACACCAAAGGAAAAGCAACGGAAGCAAGAGAGAGAAGAAGGTAGAATCAGAAAATTCGGTTTACCTTACAATTTGATATGTTGTTGCAGATGTTGCTTCCTGTTGAAGCTAAAACATAATCAGATTCTGATCTTGTCATCACCATGTGTATCCCCTCCTGCTGTTATGTCTCACCACTCAATTTTTATCATCCTTATTTAATTTGGATTAAGAATTTTTCTTCTTTCCATTTTCAGCCGTATTTCATGTGGGTTTGACTAGGTTATTCATTGATTGTTTAATTGACTCAATCTTTTGTTAGATTTGGTGTGAAGGTTGAGACATTCTTTTGTTAATTTAACTTGTTTACCATGTCAGATTTAGATGAACCAACAAGAAAGGAAAAGCGACAGAAGGGAGGAAAATCAGGTTTTCTTGCTCCTCTTCAACTTTCAGATGCTCTAGTTAAGTTCCTTGGTACTGGAGAAAGTTCATTATCAAGGTCTGATGTTATAAAGAGAATGTGGGATTACATAAAACAAAATAACCTCCAGGTATTCCACCTTAGGAAAATTTTCTTTATATCATGTTTTCTGTAACTAGTAGTGGTATATATTCATGTCTCACATCTTTGGTGCCCCCAGATAGTCTGTTGTCCATCCATTGTATATATTCCTCGAGTATTTTTTGGTAGCATAAGAAGTCCTAGATATCACATCAAACAGTCACTTTTTGTTTGAGTAAGCTGTGAAGTTTGATACTCTACTAGATCGAGAAAGTAACGAATACTAATTAGAAAGGGGTTCATCTATAACCACTCAGAGCTTGTATGTATATATATATATTTTGGGGGTTGGGTTTTGTGGTGTCAAAATAAACAAAAGGAAATGTATTAATAATGAAGAAGAGTTACAAAAGTGGCCTGGATGTCCACAATAGCAAAAACTTGTGTGCTTTGAGTCAAAAACCGTAATGGGCAATTAAGTAAACTGGAAAATGAAGGGAGCATATGGACTATTAAAAAGTTTTTCGGTCTGATATTTGACCATCTGAATTTTTGAGAGGTTGTCAGTTCCGGAAATTGTTTTCATAATGATAACTGTGATGCACAATTACTCGTAGTTAGTAGCATTCTTACGGATGACTGAAATATTTTCAGAGCTTTATTCTTTTTTATACTAATTTTATCATATTACAGCTAAAAAGGCTGCTTGTTATGGTGTGTAAGAACCTGCACAGTGAATGTAAATTAAATGAGTAATGCTAGGTCTACAATACAATCTCACAACCCTCGACATGATAGTTTGTCACTGGTCAGCTTGCAAAATAGGTCCCGCGTGCTTGTATGGGTTCCATTACGAGGGTTACAAAATAGCTAACCAATGACGAGCTGCCACATCGGGGGTTGTGAGATTGAGTTGTGCGAGCTGCCACATCGGGGGTTGTGAGAGTGTGGACTCAATCTCACAATCTTCTCTCACAACCCCCGACGTGACAGCTTGTCATTGATCAGTTTGCCAAATGGGTCCTGCGTGCTTATATGGGTTTCACCTGTCTATTTGTGAGCTAACTAATGACAAACTGTCACGTCGGGGATTGTGAGAGAAGGTTGTAAGATTGGATTGTGGACCTAACATTATTAAAATTAAATTTAGAACGTCTGGCGTTGTGATAGTCTTTGTAATTACTACCAGTTTTAATCTTTGAAACTGTTCTTTGTTTACTTGTGAAGGATCCGTCTGACAAGAGGACAATATTATGCGATGAGAAGCTGAAAGAACTTTTTGATGTGGACTCTTTCCATGGCTTCACCGTAACCAAACTTTTAGCAGTTCATTTCGTGAAGAGTTAGCAGTGAGTTACTCCTATGTTCTCCTTGTTCATCTCAAGAGAAATGGGAGTTTTGAACTTTTTGTTTTTCGTTTCTTTAACTTATTTTTGTCTTTTCAAGTTCCAGCGACAGGGCTATTAGAAAATCTAAAATTCAATTTATTTTTTTACCCTTGCGTTTCATGTTATATTTTACCTGTGTTTTATAGATGGATTGTTCAAGGTTTTTGTTCTACTCATCCTCCTGATCGGAAATTCTGGTGAGTGTTGGCCATTTTTAGTAGATATGCAAAAGAAAAAGAATAAGAACAAATTCTGTGATCCTAATGGGGCCTTTGAACATGACTGTGTTTTTAAAACAAGCTGGGCGTAAGTCTAGGAATCTGGTAATGGAATAACAAAATTCAACTTAATTTTGCATGTGCTGCTCCATAAGTTTTCCAAATTGTTGGTACCATGTTCCACCGCCGTCAGACCTTGATCATTGATTAATTTAAATTTGAGGTACAGTTAAAATTTAGTGATCAATTTGAAGACGGTAATATCCCTAGAGAATCCCATGGATAGTGTGTGTGAGAAATATATGAAGCAGAGTGATGGTTGTGTTCCTCCAGCAATTAAACAAGAATCATATGTAGAATATAATGTTGATAATTATAAGAAATAAAAAAATTGTTTGTTTGTTTTTTTTTTTTTTTTTTTTTTTTTTTTTTTATTTTTTATTTTAATTTTATTATTTTTTTATTTTTTTAATTTATAAATTGTTTAATTTATTTAAAAATTTAATTGTGATATGATTCCAACACTCAAGATTTTGGTTGAAAAGAGCCTTAGATTCCGTTCCGATGGTGCATAATGAAGACACATGGGATGGTGAGAAATTGATTGTCGTTTTGCATTCAAAAAGCATCTCTTCAAGCAATCGCACGGCAATATAATTCTTAAAAGGAATCAAATATCAATCACTCGCGAAAATCAAAACGTTAGTACGTTTCATTTCCCGAATAGAAGCCGATATTGATACGTACACCACACAAGGACAAGCAGAGGAGTAAGAAAATAGTACAGTCATCATCTCTGTGTGTTTATAGTCAAAAGTGAAGCGCCACGTTTCGATATACTGATGAGGATGACAACTGTTTCTTAAGGTTGACAAGACAACCAAGGACTATCTTACTGTATCTCGTCATAATTTTAGTGCTACGTGTCAATCGTAAATTTAGTTTGGGATGGGCACCCTAGCCCCCCACAATCAATTCACCATGCTTTACCCACCCTTCTTCATAATCAATTTTAACTATTTATCTGTGTATACAAATAAAGTTAAGAGGATTGAGGGAATGGAATAAATAATGTCCTTTCAGAATTAATACCTTAAGAAAATCCAGAAAATCACGTTCACTAAAATACGCTCAAAATATTTGTCGTTTTAGTAAATTACACCATTTTTAATAAACTAATGATGGCATACTTTTCTCTTATAAAAAAATAATTTTTAAATGTAAACAAATCCTCGTCAATAATTTGTTGACACTGTTTTTACATTAACAAAAGCTGACTCCAAGTTTTTCTCTCCTGCTTTGTCGGCTTTTATTTATTTGTTAATGATTGAAAAATTGAAAGATTATCAAATTTAAAATTACTTTCTCTTTCAAAGTCGGGTGGGAAAATTTTTGGTTTTATGGTATTTTTTCTCTCATTGCGCTGTATTACTCATTCTTTAATTATGCCGTATTACTCCTCTCATTGCGCCATTATAGTAGTAACACCTTCTAAATTATAGTATTTTTTCTTTTTTCACCTTATTCCATCTCTTTTTTTTTTTTTTTTTTTTTCATTAATCACCATGGGTAAACAATATTATAGTAGAAGATACGTGCTTGGGGAAATCAATTTTAATGTACTTCCAACATTAGAAGCTATGGATAAAGTTGACGTAGAAGAGGCTAACATGGATTGTGTTTTTGGTTCTCTATAACGAGCTAAAATCGGTGTCAGTTTAAGCTATGAAGACATATTAAAAAATAAGACAAAATAGATTTTGAATTTGCTGAAAATAAAGGGCACACCAAAAAATAGAAAGAGAAAGAAAGAGAGGAGATGAGGGGCTAGAGAAAAAGAGAGGAGACAAGACCATAAAACGAGAAAAAGAGAGAAGGTTGTTCAACTTTTTGTCAAACGACACTTATTTTAGAAAAAAATAATAAGTATAAAACGACATATATATTGGAATGGTTGGAGTGATTTTTTTATAGATAAAAGAGACAATAATATTACATTTATCTAAAACATGTGCTTAAATTTAAACATACTTGAAAGCCCTTTACACAAATCCCTTCCAAGGAGGCTTGAAATTAAAATTATGTCCACCTTTTCCATCACCATTTTCAATAATAGCCATTAGTGAAATGTAACCTCATGTTAATGTCTTTTAGTTTGATCCCCAGTTGAGGTTAAAATGTTACTAATATAATGACTGGTATTATAAATTCCACGTTACATTTTGTAAAGAAAATATAAATTATCAATAAATTTTTTTTGATTTATAATATTAACATCTATTGTAAGTTAACAAATTACAAACTGTTACGTCGAAATTGTGAGAAAAAATTTATAAGATTAAGTTATTAACGTAATATTACGCTTTTTCTTATTCTTATAGTCTCCATATAAACAAGCCTATAGGCCAACTTTTTATGTTGACTTTTTATTAGAGCATCTCTAAAAGACTTTTTATATGACTCAAATTCTTTATTATAAAGAGTTTATCTATAGAAATAAGAGGTCAACAAACTTTTTATTCTTTAAATATAAATTAAAGATGAGTTTGACTCTTCACATTTAGATAATCAAATTTCACTATTTATATTAATTTTAAATAATAAATTACAAGTTTCTATGCATTTTATTTATAATTTATCTCTCTTGTTAAGTTTCTTTCTTGAAAAAATATGTTATCACTCCTAAAATTTAAAGAGTCTATTAGATTTGAATAAAAAAAAATTGTTCTTGATATTTAGAAATCAACGAATATACTCTTTAAAATAAAGAGCACAATTCTAGATGCTCTTACCCAGTGTTATTTTTAAGAGTATTTCCAAATGACTCTTTATATGACCCAAACTTTTTATTATAAAGAGTTTATCCATAGAAACAAGAGTCCAACTAGAGGTGGAAAATTTGGGCCGGGTTAGGCGGGTCAACCCTAACTCGGCCCAGGAAAATGAGGGTTAAGCCCGGACCGCCAAGATGGCGGTCTGGGTTGACCCTAACCCGACAGCAACCCCCGGGCGGGCCGGGTTGCACAATGGCAACCCGCAACCCGGCGGGTTGCTATTTTGTCTCTTTTGCAAGAGACCCGACAACCCGCCGGGTTGGCCGAAAAAAATAAAAAAAAATAAAAATTTTTATTTTATTTTTCAAATTACCCCTTTACCTTTGAAATATAGCCGTTTTATAGCCATTGAAATGGTCTTTTTCGTCATTTCTCTTTCCCATTTTTTCCTATAAATTGGCCCTAAGTTCTCACATTTTTCTCACAACTCAAATTCTCTCATTCCCTCATATTCTCTAATCTCTAATCTCTCAATTATTCATTTATTAGTTTTTGCAATTTGCTCATATTTTAATTTTTATTAGTTTTTGTAATTTTTAATTCATATTTCCAATTTTCCAAATTCCAATTTCCATACTCCAATAAGTTAATTTTCTTATATTATATTTTATTGTATCAAAATTGAATTAATATTGAAATGTTAACAAAAAAATTGAATTGAATTATTGATATTAGAAAAGTTAATTAAAAACAATTATATTTTAATTATTTATTTGAAAGTTAAATAAAAAAAAAAAAAGGAAAATCGGGCTAACCCGGCCCAACCACCACCTAACCCGGCGGTTAGGCTGGCGGGCCGGCTGGGCCAGCCATTTTGGAGAAAATGGCGGGCCTAACCCGGCCTCCTTTGTTGGCGGCGGGTTAGGCCCGGCCCGCCAAACAGTAACCCGCCGCGGGCCGGGCGTTACTTTTCCACCTTTAAGTCCAACAGACTTTTTATCTTTAAATATAAATTAAGAATGAGTTTGACTCTCACATTATTTATTTTAATTTTAATAATAAATTATAAGTTTTTATGATTTATCTCTCTATTATTTTTTTTCTTGACAAAATATATTTTCTCTCCTAAATTTTAAGATTCTATGATTTTTTTGAATAAACTTTATTCTTTATATTTAAAATTAATAAGATATATAATAAAATACTCTTTAAAATAATATCACGACATCGTTTAAGTTTCTCAATAGCCACCCAGCAGAAGTTACTAAAGTCACCGATTGAAAACAAAGTTACTGTACCTCTCCCACCCGGTTACTGAGTTGAAGCTTGTTATGCGACGACTCAGTGCGGTCTACTGTGTTTACGTTAAGGAATCCTTGCGTTTTGAATCTAATATAATAACCTATCCTCTTCCCATATAAATGCACATACAGGTTAGTTTCGTTGTCATCCTTATCTCCCTTAAGTTATTAGAAGACAAAAAACACAGTAGCTACAGCAGCACCCATGGAACTCAAGAACTTTGATTTAAACTTGGATTTTGTTCCTCAAAAAATTAATGATTTTCTTGGGGAAGTTGCAAGAACCGGGGAGTCTCAGAGGTTATTCAGCTTGTTGATTACTGTAAGAGATTGGAGGATGAGGTGAAGAAGATCCAAGTTTTTGAACGTCAGCTTCCTCTCTGCATGCTTATCTTAAAGGATGGTATGATCAAAGATCATTTTTCTTTTCTTGGTTTCTTTTTGTGTTTGATTTTTTGTTTTATTTTATGACGATATATATGGGTTTGTATGCTATTGAGAGGGTGAAGAAGGAGTTAATGCAGTGCTCAAAACCGCAACAACGCTCTAAACTCAAAAATTCATGGACTTGAAGTGTTCAGAGAAGAAGTTGAAAGGATAGGTTTAAATACTCCAGTTCTAAAGAGAGTGGATGATTTTCTGCTCCGATTTGGGGCTCTGATACAACGATGATCTCAAACAGGTGTACTCAGCATCAGAAACAATATGGTATATGGAATTTTTTTTTTTTTTTTTTTTAGATTTTAGGAAAATGGTGTTTATCACTTTTGGTTTCTTTGTTAGCAGGAAAGTGAAGAAGAAGATCTGTCTGCTATCGAGAACCCCATTCAGGTTAGTGATGACGAACAGAGAGGCGGCATTTGAGAAGAATCTGATAGAGAGGTTGTAGTTGAACAAGGAAAGGAGTTTCACTAGCTCTTGCCACCCGTCGAGGCAAAGTTAGCCGAATGAAGTTCGTGTACACAGCAGAACAACTGTTATTGTCCCAAGAAGCAAGGAGGACCTGCCGCGCCTGAACTTCACAGGCTCTTTTTGGATGCACTTGAACATCTTGGAGGATGGCAAGGTCAGGGCCTTTAATATCTTGTTCAGAAGTGGACATTTACTGCCTGAGTCTTTAATTTCATGATAATTTGTTTATTTTGGGTGAGATTTGAAGGTACTGATGTCACCAAAAAAAGCCTTTAAGATGATTGAATGAGATTCCAGTATAAGAACTTTAGATTTCATACCATATTAAGTTATCACAAAATCCAAAAAGAAAAACAAACCTAAGATGATACATTTAAGTTCTAACAAACCATCAATTGAGTTGTAGTACTATTCTATTTGAAGTATTTTTTTTTTTTTCAATAAGTTTTATATAATTAATTATTTTGTTTAGCAGCAGCCACTCCTAAGAAAATAAAAGAATACATGAAAGTTGAAGGGCTCACGTCTGATGAAGTAAAAAGCCATCTGCAAGTAAGGGTTTTTTTTTTTTTTTGAATGATTTTATTATTTCTTGGCTTTTCATTTCCTTTATGGATGGCTTATTTGAATTTTCATGTTCCACCAGAAATACAGACTTCACGTCAGAAATTCTTCAGTTACCAAAGTAAATGAAATATGGATGGCTCATGGAGAGCTAACAAACCTGAGCATGTTCAGGGCTTGTTCTCCACAGTGCCTTGCCCTTGGAAGAAGGCCTGAAGCTCATCATCAAGACTGATGATGGTTGGGAACTGAGACTGGGCCATGATCATCCCCTATGAATTTTGCAGAGATGAAAATATTTATATGAACGTGGAAGTCATATTATTACCATAAATAAATATATAATATAGCTGACTAGCAGAGGGCTTTAATTTAAACACAGCACTTTCGAAAGGAGATTTGCAGTTGCCGATATCATGAAACAAATTAGTTGTCTCCTTAATTTGTTCCTCTGTTATTTAAGAATAACGGTGACTGTTATGTTATGTGTTAATGTTTGTCTATGGATTTGTAAGGATATTTCTAGAGTATTTTCTATATAATGTATGTTTAATCTAAACTTTGATCTTATGAATCTGCCGTTGAAGTTTAATTTTCTATTTTTCCTGTGTCTAGCTCACTAATTGCACCAGATATATTCATTTCATTACTTTTTGCTTGTTTATTTTGTATGTATTTAGCTCTCTCTTTAAGGATATATACGTTGGGGTTCAAAAGATGCTTGCTCTTTGTGTCAAATTTTTTTGAGTTTTATTTTTAGGGTTTTGCCTTCAGTGTGCACAGTCAAATGTATGTCAACATCTTCTATGATAAATATTAGTTCTATCTATCTTTTTAATTTGCAGGTTATCTTTGCTTGAATCAGTAAGTTGCCTAGATATTGAAGTTGAAGTTCATGGTCTTCTCATTTCTTGTTCTCTTTCAGAGTCCATGTCCTCTTCCCTCAACAATACTTGACAATTCTGCTTAATTTACAGAAACCAGTTCTTCTTCAGTTCAATTTGCAGCATAAACTGAAACCATGCATGCATTAATTAAATTCCATGTTAATTGCTTAACATTCTTCCAAACACCAGAAAACTTAACCTTATATATGTTCCAAGAATCAATAAATTGAGCTGTACATATGCTTCACATATTTGCAGCAATAATGCAATTCTAGAATGTGAATGCCAACGGCTTTATATTGTTCTGTATAAAAGTTTTTTCATTCAACTAAAACAAGTGCACCCACAAAAAGAAAACCACTCTTTGATTACAGCACTAGTGCTAATCTATCTATCTAATCACTACCAATGATTAGAACAGCTTCACACGCCACCACTCTTTGATTTTATACCATTAATTTATTCTACTTTTTTAAACTTAAAAGGGTTTTTACTTTGTTTAAATTATCCATTCATAAACTTATCGATCGCCGCTTACCCATTGGCCGATAACATAATATCCACTTTTACAAGATACTTTATGATTAATGATACGAAGGTACAGAATAGCCAAATATTTAATTAAATAGAGTAATAATTATTAATTCATCCTATAATATATCTCAAATTTCACATTATTATTATAATTATTGTTATATATGTATTATCATATCATTGTACATATTATATACTTTAAATATGAAATTTGAAATATATACCTATTAAGATGAGTATCATTATTCTATTTATATATAATTAAACTTGACAAGCTTTTATGTTTTGAAATTGTTACCCAATACTAGTCTCATCATCCATTTCAGACGTATTCAATTTCAAGCTATAATGTTTCTCTCTTAATCTAAGGGTTGCTATGAGAATAAGAACAAAAATATTAAATAATTTAATTGATAGTTGTTGGACCCTATTGGCAAACGTTGTCAACACACGGCCTAAGATATTACTAACGACCAAATAAATGACCAATTGATTACGGTATATCTATTGGTATAGTGCCCTTTACAACAAAGGATACCGTGAATCCAAACACAATCCTTTTAATAATCGGAAAATCAAGCTAATATAGTTTTAATCCTTCTCTTTTTTTTTTTTTTTTTTTTAATGTGTGTATATATATATATATATATATATATATATAGTCGCTTTGAATAGGAACATGATAATAATATGCGACAAAGCAGTCAAATCTGTTCAGCTTAAGAATCTAGTGAGGAGATACGATGAGCCCACACAAAGATATTTTCCCAAACCTTGTATGACTTCGTTCCCATCTTCCTTTTATTTCTTTAATGTCAAACTTATATAATGAATTTCTTTTTCATTCTGCACGCTTTCGGGGGTACTCACTTTCCCATCTTCTCCACCATTCCAATTATTATCAGTCGATTATCAATGTTATCAACTAATCTTACTTTCTTCATTGTCATAATATTGCTGCCAACACCATATTTGGTTAGATATTCAGCATAAAGGAGTGTTTGCTTACACAAAATCAGAAGGAGTATCTACTTGAACAAGGGAACATCTAAAAGTATTGACTCATTTTAATTACTTAATCCTCTTGCTCATTTCCTATAACTAACTGGTTTTATTAATGGAGAAACTACTTTTATATGAATGGTTCAGCATACTTAACTTGTCCTTTCTACCACCGGAATGATCCTATATCTATATCATATCTTTATCATTTCAACCCAATTATAACAATATTTATTCTCAAATCTTCATAATTTTCAATAGTGGCAATCCCATTATGTATCTTTAATATTGTTGATTTGTATTAAAACTTGTAATACCTACATTCAGAAATATGGTAGGGATTATTTTATAGTCATAGTGAATATATTTAACTAGTTTTATAGAGGAATTCCATAAAAGTTTCAATAGGGGCAAAATGATCATTTCACATAGAATCATGTGTTCAAGTGAAAAGTGAGTATGATAAATATAATGTATTAAGTGTGCTAACCATGAGAATAGAGTGGTAGAAAGATTATGAAAAATACACGTGATATGATGCCAAGATAAATACGTGTTTGTAAAGTAATAGGAAGAAATTAAAGAATAATGGTAAAACGGTCTTTTCACTCACAACTAGATGAAAAAGTGGTGAGTGTAAGGAAGCAAAATAATGTGGAGAAAATGATACAATTGAGGGTAATTCGGTAAATGACTAAAGGACATAGACGAAATTTCTTAGAAAGTGAAAGGGCAAAATGGGAATAGAAATTCAATTGAAAAAACCCTAGCCATTTTCATCCATTGAGCATGCCACCTCTCATCCATTTTCTCTCAAGCTTCTTCATCAAATTTCAAAGAGAATTCATAGGGTTTAGCTTAAATTTTTGTAGATTTTCAATCATAAAGCATCCAAAGGTCCAAGAGGAAAAGAAGTTTAGCAAAGGAAGGTTGAATCATTAGTGTTGTACAAATTCAAGGTAAGTAAACCCAATCTAAGCTTTAATTTGAGTAACATATGTGTAAATTGATTCTTGAGTGTTTGTGTATGATGTATGATAAGAAGTATTGACTGTTTAGATGCTTGTTTGATGGAGAATAATATGTAGAAGTTCAGCCAAGATGAGTAGTTATGTAGATGTGATGTTTTGGTTGAACCTTGGATGAAATTTTGAAGAGTTGATGTTGGAATTTGGAAGTGTTGAATTCGCCCAGAATATGGGCTGAGTTTTCGTTGAATTTTCTTCCAACTTTAAGGTATTTAGAGAGATGTGGAGGTGTGGCCTGCCACGTACTTATGTGCATGCAAAGTGTTTGGTGAAATTTCAAAAAGAAATTCATGCATGAATTTATCATATATTGTTTGAGAAAGGAAAGAATTGATGTTAAAAGGTTGTATTAGACTTGACCAAGTATGAGTTTAAGTGTTTAAGAATGGATTTTGTTATGCCAAAGTTTAGAATAACACTTGGTTATGTTAGTTCAATGAAATGAATGACATTTAGTGCATGGTTCAAGTTACTTGAACTTTTAACATTAGTTTGAATGGCATATTGTATTTAGTAATTGAATTATGAGTTTTGAAACTTATGACCTTAGAAAAGTGATGGCAAAAATTGCATATTAAATTGTTGCAATAGTGTAGTATTGATGATAGTAAAAGATGGGTAATTAATTATATTAAAAGATGGGTAATTATATTATAATATTACAATATGCCACAATAAATTGTCAAGCTTGTATGCTTGAAATTAGAAAGATCATTCAAAGAATGACTTGGCCAAATGAATATATTGTTGTTTCTTATTTCTTGTTTTAAGATTAGTTATAAACAATATGTAATAAGTAATTTTATTGTATAAAGAATAGAAAAACTTTCCCAAGTATAGATATCAAAAGAAACATCAAAGAAATAGAAGTTTGGTTTATGTATTAAATACATGACCATTTTAGAAATCGATTGGTATGAGTATAGTTTTCATATAATTGTGCTAGAAGATCTTGAGAATCTGTTGTATTGGCCAAAAGTTTAGTTAAGAATGTTAGAAAGAAATTAGAATTTAGCCAAAGAATATATGTTATACTAAATGTTAGATTGTATTTACAATAATTAATAGGAAATATAGATTAATGTATAGAATGCAGCCAAAAGAAAAGAAGAAAGAAGGGCATATATAACAATGTTGATGGTCATGTTAAGAGAATGCAAATTTATGGGCCTTATGACATTAAAATTTGTATTTAGAAAGTTGTACAAGGCATGTTTGTAACATTAGAAAATATTAGAGAGTAGTTTAATGACATGGTTATGTGATTATACATATATACAGGGGCAGATCCAGCCCACTTTTGGCCCACCCTCAATTTTTTTATTTTAAATACTAATATATATCATTTTTGGATTTTGGCCCACCCTAACAAAAATATTAATGGACAAAAATATTAAAATGTAATTAGTTTTTATTTTGGCCCACCCTAAAAAAAATTTCTGGATCCGCCACTGCATATATATATATTGATAAAATCTAGTAGCATAATTGGGCAAGTTAGTAGACTTAATACCTAAGTTATAACATATATTTTTATAGAAGAAATTAGATTGCCCAAAATATAGAATTCATTCCCTAGTTAAATTGTGCCTTTTTAAAATCTCACTAAAGAATTATAGAAGAGTAGAATTTGTGAGAGATAATGTAATTGTGTACGTGTACATTTTACATAGTATGATAGAATTGAAGAATTACAGAATTATGTAGAAATTATAGAATCCCGTACGTACATACGATGCATAGAATTCAAAAATAAAGAATAAAATAGAAAATATTTAAGTTAAGCCTGTAACTAGAATAGAACTTTGGGCTTTCCAGAAAAATATAGAAATAAAAGTCTTAGAATTAATAGAATACATGTCAGAGTCAGGCACGTATTTTGGGATTATGCATAGACAACATATAAATACATGACATAGCATAGCATGTATTTCAAAAATGTTAAAATTATTGGAAAATGTCTAGCTAATTTTTCAGATTTACAGAATATCTTTTCAGAGGGTTGTTGCGATAGGGAACCTGTGAGCATTCGCTGCATTAGTTAGTGGCGACAGAGATGCATAAGTTT